TAACTTTAATTGTTAATTTATTAAAGAGTGAACGTTTTTAAAAGTTAGTTTAAATCTAATCTGATTTTACTGTTGTTGTTTTATTTTTTCGTATTTTGGAATTAGTTACAAATAATTTCTTTTTTTTAGTATCACAAACAGTTTAATTTAGCGATGATATTGTGAACCTTAAAGAAGTGAAAAAAACTATTCATCTAAGCATTGATACCGACATATATTAAGAAGCACAGATTAAAAATGAGTTTTATCTTAAAGAGCACAGATTAAAAATGAGTTAAATGCGTTAAACATCTAAGTTCAAAAAGACTGATTGAACAAAAGTAATATGCAAATGGTAAAATAGTTCTACAACTGACTTTATGACTGTTGATGAATATGTTCAAAAAAATATAAAACAAGATGAGATAAAAAGTGAATAAGAATAAGCCAGAAATAATTACAAAAAACATGGAATTTTTTCAATAAGGTAGTGATGGTGCTATTTATGATGTGTTGGATCGTTTGTGTAGTAGTACTCTGCATTACGTGATAATGGCATTGTTATCTAGCAAAAAGTCTCTCGCATTATTTCAACATAATTAATTTTAATTGTTTATATTTGTTGATATAATATGCCAATAGTTAAAAGCATGTCGAAAATAGACAAAACAATTTTATTCTGAATATAATATTTACGATGTGCAACACAAAACTGATTAAGCTTCGATCGACAAGTGGGCTCTTACATAAAGTTGTTGTTTTTAAGTGTATATTATTTTATTGGTTTCAAACAAAAGAGATCTTTGAAAACGGGTGAAGATATGTCATTTTTCTACATATACATCAAGCACAAAACATTAAAATCATTAACCCCATAAATATTGAGAACTTTCATTTAAATTGAAAATAGTTCAGAATGAGGTTATCAATCCGCAAAACTAATTAAACGGATCGCATGTTCCTGACGGCGATAAAGCCAATTCAACTTGCTTTTTTCAGTGCATCCCCATGCACCATTAGCATAATTTAAATAATCATGAATTAATAAGTAATTTTTTTTTTATTGTTATTTAGGTGCCCAAGGAAGACCTAACGGTCTTGTCACAGAGCACCGTGGAAGTGCTTTAACCAGGAAGTTCACGCCTCCTTCCTTACCTTAACGCGAAAATATATCCAAGGCTCGTTTCGAACCAGGATCTCCTGCTTATAAAACAAGTGCTCTAACTACTGCACCACGCCGAAATTGTTTGTGGACCATTTACAAGTAAATCTCCAGTATAATAAAGTTGAGTTAGACTTTTTTTTATATAAATATGTTTTGGTTTTATATAAAATTCCAATATTTTTAGAAATTTTTCTCTTAATATAGTTGATATGCGTTTTCCATGTGATGTTTTCATCAAGAAAAGCATCTAAGAACTTTGTTACATTATGTCTTTTAATTTCAATATTATCATTAAAAACTTTAAGCAAACTTCGGGGTAAATAAGCTTTTTTTAAGACTGGGTGGAAAAGAACCCAATTTGTTTTTTAATGTTAAGAGTTAGTTTGTTGCATTTAAACCATTTGGATATATCTTCAAGTTCATCATTCATGGTATAGAAGAGTTTATAAATGTCATTATTGGAAAAGAATAAGTTGGTACCATCAGCAAACATGTTACTCATTAAATTTGAGGCTTTGTTTAGGTCGTTTATATAAACCAAGAACAATAGTGGTACCAAAATGGAACTTTTTCGAAAGCCACATAAAATAATTAGAAACTTATTTGAATGATCATTATTGCCGAAGTCAACTTTTGAACCATTTTTTAACTTTACAATTTATTTTATATTTTAGCTTCTGTAGTAAAATTTTATGATCGACAGTATCAAATGCTTTCAAAAGGTTGATGAAAACACCTAATGTATATTTAGACTTTTCAAAAAAGGTTTCACGTACAAATCGGATAACTGCATGTTCTGCGGAATTATTACTTTTAAAGCCGAATTGATAGTTGTATAAAAATTAATAGAATGTAGATAATTGTATAATCTACTGTACATAATACGTTCTAGTGTTTTTGAACATGTGGAGAGGACAGAGATAGGACAACAATAAATGATATTCGTTTGATCACATTCTTTTAAAATTGGAGTAACTAGCAATTTTTAGTTCTTCAGGAAAAACTCCTTGGCGTAAAGATGGCGTATAGACTTTAAATTGGATAATTTTTAGGTATTTTAAACATTCTATGACTATATTAACGTTTATGTCATCTACTCCAGTTGATTTTTTTTTTAAGAGTTTTGAAGATAGCTCAGAAGATAATTTGTTGGAACCAGTGCAATTGTCCACTTGTACTAAAAAATCACTAAATGTAGCATTTGTATAAAGAATTTTGTTTGCTAATTTGGGACCTATATCTACAAAGAATTTAGTAAATTCATGAGCTATAGCTCTTGATTCGCATATATGTTTGTTATCAACTATAATTGTTTGGGGGAGTGAACTTGAGCATCATTTTTGTCTGCCACTACTTTCATTCATTGTTTGCAAGTGCGTTTTAAGTTATTTTTAAATTTATCTATGAGTCTTGAGTAGTAACTTTTTTTCAAGTTTTTATTAACTTTTTCAAATAGATATTTGTATTCTTTTTATATTTTTTCATTTGAAGATGATTTTTTTTTTTTTTTTTTATTATTATTATTATAGTTGTAGCCGTAAATTTACATAGAATATACACATACAGCGAGCAGGGGAAACACCCCACAATAAACAACCAGTTTTATAAATATTTGTTCCAAACTTTTTCCACAACCAGGAGTCAAGTCTATTTTTGAAAGAAAGTACAGTGGAGTACAAAGTTATTTGCTCTGGTAGATTGTTCCAGTATTTTGCTGATCTATTATACAAATGATTATATCTTGGAAGACAGTTTAGAACATACTCACGCCTTATTTTAGAATGGTGACCACGAGACACGGAGTTAATATATTTTGGTAGATATTTATCATTAACTATATCAAAACGATGTATTAATTTAAAAATTTGGATTAAATCGCATCGAAGGCGTCGAAACTCAAGTGATGGTAGGTTTAATCTTTTTAGCCTTTCGCAGTATTGAAGATGCCTCAAGATGTAAGCCCATTTTGTAGCTTTGCGTTGAACAGATTCAACCAAAGCCATATCAGCTTTTAAAAAAGGAGCCCAAATGGACACTCCATATTCAAGATGTGGTCTTAGAAATACTTTATATAATTTGAGAGCCATTTTTTCATCAATGAAAGTGAATGTCTTTTTCAGCATACCGAGAATTTGTAAGGACTTAGAGACAACTGTTTGAATATGAGCGCTCCACTTGAGGTTAGATGTAAAAATGACTCCTAAATCACGTTCTTTAGTAGAGCTTCTTAGAGATTGGTTGATTCCTTGGTTATTTTGAAGAAAGTAATTGTAATGGGGGTTGTTTCGACCGTAATGAATGACGCAGCATTTTGAAGTGTTTAGCTTAAGTAACCAAGTGTTTGACCACTCGTATACCATTTTGTTTTAAGATATTTTATATCAAGCTTCTGTTTTATTTTTGATGATTTTTTAAATAACCTGGTCACCCATGGGTTGGTTATACTTTTTGGATTTATTGTTTTTACAACGGTAGGAAAATTAGCGTCATACACATAATAAAATTTTTCAAAAAAGTTATTGTAAATTTTGTCAGCATTATCATTAAAGTTAATGTTTCCAGTGTAGGAGTGATAGTTGGTTTTTAAATTGTTTTATATTGGTTTCGTCAAAAGTGTGTAATTTAATTTGATTTAATTTGGTTATATTTTCGGAGTTTGTCTTAAGCAACAAAAGTGTAGGAAAATGATCAGATATATCCGACTTTAGTATACCTGTTTAGATATCATTGTCGGATATATATGTTTGGATATCATGTTTGGATATCATTGTCGGATATATATGTTGTAATGATATTATCAATCAAAGACGCTGAGTTTTTTTCACTCTCGTTGGACGATTAATCAAAGGGATCGCTCCAGTTTCGAAAAAAGACTCGTAAAAGTTTTTAATTTTATTATCTTCACTGTATAGAAAATATTTAGGTCCCCAATAATAATGGTATAATAACCATGGAAACCAATCATGGAAATCTTTTCTTTTTCTTTGAGAATTTTTCTGTTCTTCTAATTTGTTGATAATTATTTTTTCTATGTTTTTAATCGAAATTTTCATATTTATATAACAATTAAAACACGCTGTACAAAAAACACGTTTGTTCGCTTCGATAACTAATTATAATGCTTTATTTTTTGTTTTAAACAGTCAGGGGCGGATGAAGTGATTTTTGATGTTTGATATCCTAACATTTACATGTTTAAGAATGGCACTTTATTGCACATAAGAAACTTAAATTAAATTATTGCGCGCTTTATTTTATAATAAAATGTTAAACTCAGAAACAATAACATTAAAAACAATATATTATTAGAATAAAAAATAATAAAAATAATTTCAAGTAGTCGAAAAAATTTATTTCAGGTAAGTTCTTTTTAAATGATGAATCATTTTAGGTTGTATTTTAAATAAGATATTCAAAAATGGTGGCAAAAAAAAAAGTTTAATACAATATTTATTCGTTTTAGGTAAATTTACTATAAATTCGACTTTTCTTTTTCAACCAAACATATTTAATAAAAATTTATATTGTTGTAAAAATACATCTGTAAAAATATCACGATCGACGAGTTTAAAACTGTCTAACTATAAACACGAACTGCTATGAACACATATTACATTAGAAAATTATAACTATGCAGTAATCTAAATAAATCACTACAAGTTATTTAACATTGAAAAAAAAAACTTTCTTATCGTATGATATAGCAAAATATAAATCTGTTGCCTGGTGTCCTACACACAATAGGGTTCAGGTATATATATGTGTATATATATATATATATATATATATATATATATATATATATATATATATATATATATATATATATATATATATATATATATATATATGCATATTTCAATACAAAATTGGATATAATTCTTAGAGATTTCATATCATACAATTATACTCTATATAAATATCAAAACGAAAAGTTCTGTATACTAATATACAAAATATTAAACAGTAATTATTCATAAAATTTGTCAAAAAGATTAAAAATAAGTTTAATAAAATTCTCTTGAGGCTTCAAGAAATACAGAAATCTGATTCGTACGTATAATCTGCCAGCTACGTGAAATCTCTCGTACATAATGAAGATGGCATACCGTAAACGTTTCTAACAACCAATTAATTTGATTTTATGTATGAGCTTAGCGAACATAATATAAAACTTTTTTGCTAAATATAAAAAGTTAAAACATTTACTAATAGCAAAAATTATCTAGCCCTTTTCAAAAGTTTTAAAGTTTTTTTTTATCATATTGATCATACACAAAGAGTTTAATTACGATCTCTGATCGTAATTCAATTTCTAGTTTTTTTGCTAAACTCGGTAACTTTTAATACCATTTATACTCTATTTATTTACTAAATATCCATTCAAACAATACACATTGATGTCAATAGCAACAACTTGAGGGTATATAGCCAACAGAAATAGTATTTAAGATATAAAACTGTTTTAACAAAAACGATTAACACCAGCAGATGCACACCACAAAAACAATAAGAATCTACATTGATATTAAACCAAAGTGCGCCATATTAGATCTAAAGCGGGAACTATTTAACTGACAACGTTGCTTTTGGATTCTCAAAGCACTCCAAACCGTATTTGAAAATCACTTTCAAAAGTCATTCCACAAAATAACGTGCTTATTTTTGTCGCTTGATAAAATACTAGATCCATGCGGATGCCATGCTGTTGCAATAACAGCGCTCCTTAATAAAAAACAAAAAAGTAAGAAATTGTGAAAGAAAGGGAAAAAACAAACATTATTTTCTAAATTTAATTGATTTGAATAAAAAAGCCTTGTTGACACCATGAAAAAACAAAATATCCATACTTATGTTCCTTAAGAACTTTATCGAGTTGGTTTGTGCGTGTATTCCATACATAAATATTGTTGTCATGTGACCCACATAAAGCATATTGAGCATCCGGGCTAACAAGTATAATATATATATATATATATATATATATATATATATATATATATATATATATATATATATATATATATATATATATATATATATATATATATATATATATATATATATATATATATATATATATATATATATATGTATATATGTATGTATATATATTTATATATATATATATATATATATATATATATATATATATATATATATATATATATGTATATATGTATATCTATATATATATATATATATATATATATATATATATATATATATATATATATATATATATATATATATATATGTAAATGTATATATATATATATATGTATATATATATATATATATATATATATATATATATATATATATATATATATATATATATATATATATATATATATATATGTATATATATATATATGTAAATATAAGATTATATATATATAATCTTATATTTATGTAAAATCAATATATAGATTAAATCTAAAATCAATATATAGATTAAACATTTTCATTATAAAAATCTTAAATTTTAGCTATTTATTTTTATAATCAACTAAAAATTATTTATAATATATTAAAAAATTAAAATATAAAAATTATCAAAAATAGTTATATTTAGTTTGAAACACATTTTTTAAAATGTGTTTAATTATATGTGCACAGCGCACAGTGCCTCACAGATACGAAAAAACGGCAAAAACCCTATTAATTTTTTAAATTTATTTTGATGTTTTTTAACTTTATCTTGATTGTTATAAGCATACTGAACAAGGTAAACCCATTTTTTATGATTTTGTAAATTTTTACTCTTTTTGTGAGCTTGTTATATGCAGGTTGTTTGTGGGCAAAAATTCACTAGAAATTTTAGAGTTTTCAAGTAGATCTTAAAATTGTCACAAAATGGTCATTTTTAAAAATTTTTCTTTCATTTTTTCGGTGAACATCATATAAAAATATTATATCATCCGGTAAGTAACTGACATTGGACTTTTATCAACACCAAAAATTAATGTTTAAATTTCACAATTTGTGAAAAAATTAAAAATTTTCAGAAAATAATATTCACAATATTTGCTTTTTCTAAAAATGTCCACACTTGTCCACCCTGAATTTTGATGGGGAAGTATCTTGAATATATACAGGAATGCCCGGAAAAAAAAAACCCGCCCCAAAGTAGCACGTTTTTGAGAAATTGAATTTTAAAGTTTTTTGCAATTAATAAGAAATCCGCAAAAAGTTGTTTACAAATCCAAAAAATTAGTTAGTAATATGTGCCTTTGTGATTACATCTCAAAATGAAAATAATAGACTTGATTCCCAAAGTAAGAGAAATTTGTATAACTAACAAGGATATTGTGAGCCTCCTTTATGAGGAAATTTTGATATCAGAAGGTTTGGATGGTGAAAAAGTGCATAGTGAAAAATTAACAGAAAAAATCCGAATTTTGGTGATAAAATTGAAAGCTAAGTGGATTGCAGTAAACAAAACATATGACAGGCTGTTAATGAAAGAAAAGAAATGGTTGCAAACCGAAATTCAAATTGTTATGAAAGCTGACCATGTAAGCAGAAAAGAGTTCAGTGGAGGGCGACCAAAGAAAGATTGGAAAGATCTAGGAGAGAGAAGTAAGCGAACAAGAGTTGTTGGATTATCTGCGCATGATCTAGAGGTTTTAGCTCTGGCTGCTGTTAAAAGTGCAAAATCATCAGGTGACTTACAAGACTTTGCTTATGTGGTTAAAGAGTCTATTCAGAAAGCATCTGAAATCAGAAAAAGTATGGACAGCAAGGAACCAATAATGATGAGTGAGAAAGAAGCACTTTCATTAAAAGTTAATTGTGATCACAGTGATGATCAGTATCAAATGATAAGAAACTCCTCAATCAAACACAATGCCAATATTTATCCAACATTACATGCTCTATTCAAGGAAAAAAGTAATTGTTATCCAGAGGACCTTGTTGTAACTGAAACTTCTGCTGAACGTAAACTACAGTCCATGGTGAATCATACTCTTAAAAAAGTTATTGTATTAAGTGAAGACAATTTAAAAACTCTGGATCCAGATCAAAATGTGCTCAATGGTCGTTTTATTCTAAAAGCAGGGTTTGATGGTGCATCAAGCCAAAGTTTGTATAAACAAAGGTATGATAACACAGACATTGAGGAGGCTAAAAAAAATGAAGAATCCCTTTTCCAAACTGCAATTGTACCTCTTAAGTTAAGTGTAGAAAGTAAAACAATTTGGGAGAATAAGAAACCAAATAGTTCTCATTTTTGCAGACCTCTTCGTCTTCAATACAAAAAAGAAAACACAGAACTATTAAATGTTTTGAATACATACTTCATTTAGGCTACAGACTGGAGATGACTATTCCAAGGACAGATGTCAGGTTAGCCGAAGATAAGGTACTTGTTCAAGCTAGAAAAAAAACTATTCAAGATAGGTTTAGAGCAGAACTTAGTTTACTGGTAGATGTTCCAAAAACTGGATTTGGGAATACAAATGATGGTAATACTGCCCGAAGAGCATTCATGCATGGTGAGGCTTTTGCTGACATAACAGGAGTTCAGGTTGAGTTGATTTTCCGGGTGAGGACAGTTCTTCAAGCTGTTTGTTCAAGGTATGACCTAGATATTGATAGATTTAGCCAATACTGCAATGAGACTCTAGCCTTTATAGTTAATAACTATGATTGGTACAGAATGCCTCCAACTCTTCACAAACTTCTAGTTCATGGACCTGCAATTGCTGAAAATCTAGAATTACCCATTGGTTATTATTCTGAGGAGGCTCAGGAGGCCCAAAATTAAGTGATAAGACATGCTAGGTTAAACCATTCATACAAAATTTCCAGACTAAATGTAATGAAAAATTAATTTCAATATTTGCTGATCAGAACTGATCCAGAAATTTCATCGATCAACTTCATAAAACACAAATCTTCCAATGGAAACCCCTTGTCTGAACAAGCTCTTAACTTGCTGAAACACTAAGTTTAGTTTTTTTGTTTAAATCTAAATTATATTGTTACATGTTATATATGTTATATGTTACAACATACAGAAATTGTAGATATTTGTTTCTGAATAATGTAATCTTTATTGTTTTCACTGTTTACTGACAAAACCGGCTGTTATTAAAGGATTATATGTAAAGTGTTGAAAAACATTGAAAATTTGTCACTTTTTATTTAAATAAACTATATATATATTTATGAATTTGTCTCTATAAGTACAATAAAAAACGACAGAAAAGCATGTTGAGAAAGTGGGAAAAAATTCAGAATTTGCAAATTTGCAAAAATATTTTGAAAAAAGTGTGCAAAATTATTTTCTGACTTTTGGGTTGGGTTACTGATTAAATTTTAATATATTTAGAGCCAAAAAAGGTTGAAATCCATTCAGAAACACTGATTTGAGGGTTTTTGCCGTTTTTCCGTAGCTGTGAGGCACTGTGCAGCGGGCCAAACAGATGTTTTCACAGACATTGGTATAAAACTTTTGAACGGAAGGTGCAATGGGATTGATTAAAGAATTTTTGGAAAAGTTTTTATGTGTAAATTTTGAAACACTAAAAATAAGCCAAGTGCCTTAGCAAATTATTAGTATACAACCTGTTATATTTGCAGAAAAGTTTTTGGTTGTTTATTTTCCTCAGCAATAAAAATTTCAAAAAAGTCAAATTCAGTGAGCTTCATTGTTATTAAACTAAAGATATAAATATTTTTGTCGATTTTTTCAAATAACTTTTTAAACAAAATGATTTAAAATTAAAATAATATAATTCAAAATATAAACGTGATAAGTAAAAAATATTATATTATTACTATATACACAACAAAGCTCTCAGTTTTGATTTTAACTCTTGTAATTCGTTTATTTTAAAACAGACTTCAATGTTGCAATATTTTTTTTATTAATGGTTGTACTAACTAGATTAAATTTAGTCAAAAAATAGTTCAATAGAAAAGAGGGCTAGGGGGTGTGTGTGGAGGTGTTGGTCAAAAACTGGTCTTAATTCTTTTTTTTAATTTTTAGATATACATTTTTTCTGAACACATCTTCCCCTCATAAAAATATGAACAAAATAATGTAAAAAAATTTGAATTAATTTTTTTTTTAAATATTTTACAAAAATTTAAACTAAAGGGGTAGGGTCATTTTACTTTTTTTGTTTAAAAGTGCTTAGTTGGCACAATTTAGTTAAAAAGCATCATATTCCTCTTTGTTATAGGAATTTAAAAATATATAGGTAAACTAGGGTCAACTTAGCACTTTTTGAGATAGATTTTTCTGATAAAAAATTAGTAAAACAAAACACTAAAATTTTGCTAAATTTTAGCTGTTTTATTAGGTATAACATGTAAAAATAATTTTGTGCAATAATTTATAAAGTTAACATTCACATTTCAATAAATTGCAGTCTAAGACTGTTTCTACATACAACTATCACATTAGCACTGCTTATATATTGACATTTTTTCTTATATAATGCCAAAAATGACTTTTATGTATCATTTATATTACATATAAATAATACATAAAAGATATTACATATATTTACATAACTTTTGCAATGAATTTATGCTATTCAAACATCTATTACATATCTCTTGCAATGAATTTACACTATTCAAACTAGTATATTTCATGAACAACTCATGCTTTTAAATTAATTTTTTTTTAATGAATCGGAAATTTATTTGGTTTTCAATAAAAACTATTGAAAACTAATATTGATTTATGAGCAATGTCCACTGTTTGGCCTACTGTCATGTGTAAGCAATGGCCTTTTAGTTCAACAAACTTTTCAACATGTTTTCGAATACCATTTTTATATTTTGAACACATTTTCATGGTTTAAAGATCATATACTTTATTTTTTCATACATTATTTTAATGCAAAATTAATGAGATTTCCCAAGTTTGTTAAGTTGTGAAGTTTTCTGAACGTTGATTATTTTTAAAAAATTTTTAAAAATGGGTTGAACTTCTAGACCATTGAAGATTTGAACTTCTAGATCATTGAAGAATTTTTATCAAGACAATAATTTATATGAGATATGTTCCTGACCAAAAATGTAGCAAACATGTGATTCAGCTTAACTTGTTCCAAACAGGAGTTTGTGTTAACAATGTTGAAACCATGTTGGTGGTCCTTGGCTTATTTATATCTAACTTTTTGATTATTCAGTAGTGGTTGCTTGCTTGGTAAAAAAAAAAAGTAAAATCAGATTGGATAAGAATTTCACAAAAAACATTATAAGTGACATTGCTCATAAAGTTGTACTTGCACTATCTTTCACAGGGTATGTATCATATGTACAAAATAAAACACACAAAGTGTCATGCTGTCTAATATGCACATTCTTTCCAACAACCATTAAAGCAAATAAAGATTAAATTTTTCAAAATAGCAACCAAATCATACTGTATGTGTATTTTTCAAAAGTATTGAAATCATGCAAACTTGCCTTAAAACTAAATTTAAAACTTGTTAAAATCTCAAATTTTTTTTTACTTTTCAAAAGTAACTTATAATATAACATAAAATAAGATATATAATAAAGTGTATGCTTATATATATATATATATATATATATATATATATATATATATATATATACACAAAGGGCGATGTATATATTATTATTATATATTACTACAATTATAGGAAAAAAATTGGGTGATGGTACCCCTCCGTCGCAAAGCGATATAGCGGAAAATCAGCGTTTATTCATAAAAAAAAAAAATATTTGCTGTAAAAAACATTAAAAAAAAAAGATCCTCAAATTTTAATTTGGGTGGCATCACATACGATCGATCCTGTCAAAACAGTCTAGAATAGCCCCTGATATAAATATATATATATATATATATATATATATATATATATATATACAAATAGTATATATATATATATATATATATATATATATATATATATATATATATATATATAATATATATATATATATATATATATATATATATATATATATATTTACTATTTGTATATATACAAATAGTATATATATATATATATATATATATATATATATATATATATATATATATACAGTACTGGAAAAATTATTATGGATTTTTTAAAATAACACAATTTATGCAACAATCTTAGTTAATTTTATTATTTAAAGTATTATATTTCACATAAATTCTTTCTATTTTCACTATACATTCATTGTGTACCATATTTTTCATAAATGTCAACATTTTTTATCATTTTATAGATGGCAACACGATTTTTATGTGTTGTGTCATAATTATGCATATTATGCACATTTATGTTAGTTCGCTGCGTTCCGTCACGAGGGCTTGTCGTCGCTGAGAATTAAAGTTTTTATAACATTTTATTGAAGTTTTAAGTTTTTTTAATATTATCTAAACCAAAAAAGTTACTTAATTTTTTTTTATTTCATTTAGTTTTGTATATAAAGTCATGGGTAAAAATAGTGATTTAAGTCCTCGTAAAATTGGACAAATTAAAGTTTTACTAGAAGATTCTGAACTTAAACAAAAAGAAATCGCTAGGAAATTAAATATATCGACACAAATTGTTAGTCTGATTAAGAAAAAAATTGAGAGAGGGATTGATGTGGGCTCTCAACGACAAGGAAACTGTGGGAGGAAAAAAATAACCACACCAAGAACCGATAGAAAAATCCAAAATATGGCACTTAAGGATAGAAGAGCAACATGTTCGAAGATTTCCAGTATGTTAGGGGAAGAAGGAATCTCTGTGAGCAGAAAAACGGTAAACAATCGATTGTTAGAGTTCGGATTGAAAGCATATCGTCCAAGAAAAAAGCCACGCCTTACAGAAAATATGAAAAAAGCAAGATACGATTGGGCAAAGCAGCATGAATCTTGGACTTATGATGATTGGCAAAAGGTAAAAATGGTTTTTTTAATCTTAAATACATTTAGGAATGATAATCAGTTAAATTACTTTTGTCTTTATTAATTATTTTAGTTGTGATGGGGTCTTGTAACATTATAATAATACGTATTTAATAAACAATAATTTTCAAATTTTAACTTAGAGGTAAGGCACTCTCTCTCTACTTTCTCTAGCAGTTAATTTTGTTTCAGGTTGTGTTTTCTGATGAGTCGACTATCGCAATTTTGGATGATAGGGTCCAAACCGTACGTCGACGACCCGGGGAAGAATTTTTGCCAGAATGTTTGAAGAAGACTGTGAAATTTCCTCAAAAAATAATGGTATGGGGGGCATTTTCGGTCCATGGAACCAGTCGATTGTACATCGTGGATGGCACAATGAACCAGGACAAGTACATTAAGGTGCTAGAATCTCGACTAGTGCCACAAATTAGGGAATGGTATGGGTCAGACTTCTGGATTTTCCAGCAAGACTCTGCACCTTGCCACAAATCCAAAAAAGTTATGACTTGGTTCCAACAAAATGCTGTCCAGGTTCTTCCTTGGCCAGGAAACTCGCCCGACATGAATCCCATAGAGAATCTATGGGATATACTAAAAAATGAAATCCACCAAATACCCATAACAACAAAAAGCCAACTGATAGAAAGGTTAATACACGTGTGGTTTCACTCTACAAAAATTAAATTTTTGTGTAAAAGTTTGATTGAGAGCATGCCACATCGTGTAAAAGCTTTAATTCTTGCGAAAGGTGGCCAAACAAAGTATTAAAATGTATAAAAATGTGTAATACGTGTAAATAAATCATTTTTGGTTATGAACTAATGAACAAATTGTGTTTTAGTAATGCCTTAAGTCCGAAATAACGATGTATTTTAAAAATCCATAATAATTTTTCCAGTACTGTATATATATATATATATATATATATATATATATATATATATATACTATTTGTATATATATATATATATATACTATTTGTATACAAATATATATATATATATATATATATATATATATATATATATATATATATATATATATATATATATATATATATATATATATTTATACATATATATATTTATATATATATATATATATATATATATATATTTATATATATATGTATGTATGTATACATTGTTACCTAAAACAAGCACGAGTGTAATCAAACGCAACTTTAAAACCATCAGTTCTAAAATTAAATAAGTTCAGAAATCACAAACTACATTTACACTATTTAAACTTTTTTATACTAATATGCATTTATAATAATATACATATATAATAAAATACATTTATAACATTTTTTATTTATTTAATTTTGAGTATTTCACTATTTAAAACTATATACAAACATGACATTCTGTTATTTTATAGACCACTTTATATAAAATATTTTTCTGGTACCTGTATGTTGATACAATTTGATTTCTTCTTAAATCAATCAGTTTTAGTGAGTCATCTCGCGTGCAAGCCAAAAGATAATTCATATCTATATTTTTATAAAATTATTGCTTGTATTGTGACCAAACATTTTAATGATAGAAAAAATTCAATTACTTAAATCAGACACAAATGAATGTATTATACGTATTTATAGTTTATATTGTTTACTTGTGTAAATAAACATTTAGTATATTTTGTATATAGTATATATATGTATGTAATGATAACAACAAATATGAATGTAATATATGTATATATAGTTTATGTATGTATATATTATTTATTAGTGCAAATATATATTTAGTTTAACATATACAAACAAACACACACACATATATATATACATATCAATATTTTTGAAACAGAGTAAGATGGGGTAATTTCGCCACTAATTCTCTCAGTTTAAATTACTTGAGATTTAAAAATGAAAGTCAAATTTTTTATTTTTTGTTAATACTATTTTTATAAACTTTACATACTTTAATTTTTTTTTTAATAATTAGAAAATAATAACAGAAAAATTGGGGTGGCGAAATTACTCTAATAAAATCTAATTTGGGAAAGTTTTGCCACCTATGTTACAACATAAATTTTTTATTTTACATTATAAATCTTTAAAACACATTTACAATTAGCTAAATAAAAGAAATCCATCGATACCGATAGGTATTGGGGCATGCATCCCCCCTCCACCTTTTTTTTATAAAGAAATATAGGATATTTTGACATAGCTAAAATTTGTTAATGTACAAGCCCCAGCTACCTTTTCTGGATATTGAATTTTTCCTCCTAGTATCCTTTAAGTTATACAATATAATTCCGCAGCTCGCTTGCAACTTAGTTCTCCAGCTTTAACTTTTGCATTGGCTTTTTCCACTAGCTCTTCGCTATAATTTTTTACAGATTTTCTCTTGTAGTTTTGTGGCATTGTTGCTGATAATTGATTGATTTAATAATTTGAATTGATTATAAGATCAACATGAACTAAGAAATTAATTATCAAAACAAGAAGAAGGGAAATAATATTAATTATCCAATCAAAGCGCATTTCTATTTAATATAAATAGGTGGCGAAAATCCCTTATTTAGTATTTCTGTAATAACTTTAGAATCAATCAAAATTAGAAAGGAAAAAATAATACAAATATTCTTCGAAAAATGTCCAATGTTTTAATCATTTAAATTTTGAATGGAAATAAATATTTTGATTTTTATGAGAATTTTAAATATCCTGTTTTTTTATAGATTATTTTTGTCAATTAATTTTCTCATCAAGTTTTCACAAAAAGAAGATTTTTTTCACATAATTTGTTAAGAAATTTGTTTTTCTTCTAACAGAAATGTGAATTATAAAAAAATCTTATTCCTGAGTAAAGTTATAGTTATAAAAGTAGATATGCACAGATTATATATATATATATATATATATATATATATATATATATATATATATATATATATATATATATATATATATATTATAAAAAGATGTCAAACTATAAATGTAAGCATAGTGTAGGGGTTTCGAAGTAAAGCTAGTATAATTCTATTGAAACTGACAAGAAAAACTACTAATTATCATTCTTCAGAATCTCTTAAAGAGCCAACACAAGTAGTAGTATAGAATTAACTATTATTTGTGAAAAAAAATGTTTCTAATTATCTGTGAAATCATTAATCACTCTCTATTTAACGTAATTGCCATAAATCATACTCTCTATTTAACATAATCATCATAATTAACAATTGTTTTTGAATTGATTCTTATAATTATTATAATTAAAAAACTAAGTAATTATTTACTGGAAAAAGTATTCATTTTCTCGTCCGCTAAAATAAGCAAAACTTGTTTATTTTAGAGGACAACAAAAAAAAACATTATTGTTAAAAAAAATTTATTTAAATTATCATATGTATTTAAATTTATTATATATTAAGTTTCCATGGTTTAATTTGTATTAATTTAAAACTTGTGATGGCCATGTCATATTTGAACTTCTCCAAAAATGAATTTTTATGCACTTAGATTTACAATTACCTTGGATCATTATCCTGTCATGTCAAGAAAACATTTTTGATAAAGTTTTTGCATGTCAAGTACCTAACTGTTTTTTCTCTTGTATGTATTAATATTAAGTTCATTGCAAACTGTAGAATGTACATTAACGTTAGAAGTATATGGCATGTATGCCATATATTTTTAATATTTTTAATGTTAAATTATGAAGGGAAGCTAGATTGTAAAAATATGATAAATGTAGTTTATATAATGTCAGTATTAATCTATGCAAGCGTGTATGTATGTATGTATAGATGTATGTATGTATGTATGTATGTATGTATGTATGTATGTATGTATGTATGTATGTATGTATGTATGTATGTATGTATGTATGTATGTATGTATGTATGTATGTATGTATGTATGTATGTATTGTATTCTATGTATATATATGACAAGCTAAAAAATTTTTTCAACAAATTACATTATTACCTTGGGACAAGTCTAAAGATGCAACTTTGCCTTGAAGCTGAATCTCATTAGAGTTTTGATCACATCTTAAAAAGAATTATCACCATAATAATGGAGAATTATCATCATAATCACAAAGAATATGCACATTACTGTGCATATACTCTCATAAAACATTATGCTAATAATAACCATTAAACACAGAAAAAAAAAACTCATTACTATAACAAATATAATTATAACATAAGTGATAAAATATAATATACCTTATATCCCAGAAGCGAATTTTTTTATCAAAATGGCCACTAATGATAGTAGTCCTAAATGCAAAACACTATTAAACACAAACATAACCATGTGAAAAAATTATTTAAAATTGAAAAAAATAATAATCTGCTTTGTACTTAATGTTTTGTCTACTCTAATACTACTCTACTAGGACTACTCTAATAGGATTTTTCTATTGAAAAAAATATTTTTGATAACTGGTTTAGTATAAAAAGTGTATATATATATGTGTATATATATATATACATTTATATATACACTTGTTTTTAAAAAGAGTGGTTGTGCGCCTCCACTTCGAAACCCATGTCGTCGGCCATGAATATGCCAGTTTTATTTTCAATTCTTTCAATTTTTACTTTTTTTATTCAAATAATTTTTTAATAAATTATAATGGAGTTTTATTTTCAAATAACTTATATAAATTATATTATTATTAGGAAAAAAAAAATTGATTTAAAAAAATAAGCATTTTTGTTGTATTTTTTGTTGGAAAAAACGTAGACTGGCTTTTTTATAAATGATAGTGGCATTAAAAATGCCGCACAATATTTGGAGTAATTAGCTCCAAATGTTTTGCAGAATTTTTATCAAACAAAGAAAGAGTGTTACACATGCCTTCAGTTCTTTACACATTGTTGAAAAAAAAATCATTTTAAATTAACTCCAGACTGTACATATTGCATGACAAGGAATATTCACAAGAAAAGAGTTGGGCACAACAGTAATATAGACACGAAACTGATCAAACTGTTTGTGCACAAGAAATAATATTGGTGACAGACATGAAAAAAGAAATTATGCTACCAAGAATGGGAAACTTTAAAGAAGCAATGTTTTGTCAGCGGTTAACAACATATAATGTATCATTTATGCCTATTGGAAAAACGAAGAAAAGTATAGTTTCAATTGTTTGGCATAAACAAAATGCTGGGCGATACAAAGAGGAGCTAAATCTACTTTTTTTTTTTGCAAGAATATCGAGATAAATCTGAAATCACCATTGGTGTGAAAATTATTACACTTAAAACAAAAATTGGAGTGATGTTTCTAATATATATGATTAATGGCAATGAAATCACAACCAACAAAATCACATTTATAAGTTATGGTCACACATTTATGAGTTGTGACTCATTTCATCATTTAATAGAGAAGCAACTTAAACTATGTCACAAGTACAATTTCAATGATTTTATTCAAAGAGTGAAAGCAGCAAAACAAAATACAAAAGTTACAATTTTGCAGGTAAGTTTGATTTTATTTCTATAAAAATAATATAATTTGTAGCTTTAACTAAGTGAGCTTTTATTCTTTTAAGACCACAAACATTTTTGTGCTAAAGGAAAAAATCACTCAATATATGTTGAATAAATTGTATTTTTGTCCATATATGGAAAACATTGCCGAAATCAAGTTTTATAGCATGTTTTATTGTTGTTGCCTATTGGAAAAACAAAGGAAAGTATAGTTTCAATTGTTTGGCATCAACATATTATGACTATTATTGCCCCGTGATTGAAGCATCAGTTTTATCTAAAACGCAGAAAGAAAAAATGTCAACTTTACCATATACCATGTAACCCTTTACAGGCCAAATTATGACAAATTAATGTAAAAAATGTTAATTTTTGTTATACTAACAATTTAAGTTAACAAAATAAGTAATTGAAAAAAATTATTCAAAATTTTGTAATTTTGGTCAAATTTGGGTTTGATGCCATATGGCATCATCGGTCAATAAAGATAACATCTGAAAACGTTATCTTTATTGACTTTATTAAAGTTATAAAATATTTTTATTGAACTATATATAAACAGCACAGGCAGAAAACTTTTTGTTCAAAAAACATGTTTATTCTAATGTATGTAAGCAGTAAATACAGTTTTATTCAATTGTGGAAGTCTACATAGCAGTTGCGATTGGCTAACATCAAAGGAAAACATTACATTTTGCACACATCATTCTGCTATAACTCTGACACAGCCTGCATCTTTTTTTATCTTTTTGTGGTTTTGGCCAGTATCCTATATGATCATACCTAATATCATTAATAGGGATTGGTATGACTGGTTTCTTTCTATTCCTTTGTTGAACTTGCTTGATACTGCTAAGTTTAGCTGGTCTTCTCCTACCCTGGATTGCTTTTAATTTATTCGCTTGGATAAGAGCATTTAAAATACCTACTGTAAATTCTGCTAATGCTTGATGTTTGTTGATTGGAAGACCTAATTGCTGATAATGCCATTTATTTAAGATCCAGGCATTCACTTTGGTCACATCTACAAAATGCCAGAACACTTTGATGTACCATTGTCGTGTTTTTACTTCTGTGCGGTACAAGGCAACTAGCATATCTGCTAGATCTACACCTCCCATGCATTTATTGTTTTTTTTTCTTTTGTTTTGCTGCACCAGCGAAAAAGTTGGATACTAAATGTACAATATTGTTGTCTAACCATTTCACAACAATTAGTGCAGAATTTTTATCAATACGATAATCAAGTGAACCTCTATCTTGTTTCTTGAGTTCTTTTGATGGTATTACTCAGTAATAGTAAACCCAGTAATTTACTGGGCACCCATGTAAATGATTTGGTTTGATTGTGCCTGCAGCTTTTATTCCAATAGGTATTGGATCAAATCAAGGGTGGAAATATCATAAAGACAATTCCTTTTGGCCAATGACGCCATGTGGCATCATTTACTTTTGAAAATTTATAATACACAAGATAATGATCACTTTTTAACTAAAATATCCTCAAATAAATCTTTGTTATTTATATTTTGAATATCATTTAGTAAAGTGTTTTATAAATGTGTTATCTAAATACAAAATGCAAAAAATAAAAATGAGATATTTGAGTTTTTACATCTTTTCTCTACTACAGTAATAAACCAAGTGTTTACTTCTTACAAAGTATGTTCTACCATTATGAAAAGTTTTAGCGTGTGTACACCTTGGTGTTGAATAACAAGCAAAAGCATTCTCCTTATTACAGGCTTTAGTAAGCTATAGAAGAACTCCTAAAGTCACTGAAGCCGTATGGCATCACTGGCCCATAAAGGGTTAAGAAGTTTAAAAGCCGGAATCAATTCAATCTAAAAATCAAAACCCATAATAGAAAAGAGTTTTGGGAAAATTTCTCAAGAGCTTTTATGTTTAATTCTTCAATTTCAAAATTATATATTATAAACATTTTGTGCGCATAGAAATTTCCTTGTTATTTGTTTTTCTTTTTGTATTATTACTTAATTCATCTTCTAACTACATTTATTTTACATTAAAATTTTTTAATTTTCAAACAGGTGCAACTAATATAACTTGTTTTGTAATATTAGTCACTCGTGTAGGAAGGTCAAAAATGTTAGAGGGGGAGGGCGGAAACAAAAATTAAAGCAGGCTAGGGCAACAAAAAAGGAATTTGAATGAAATTTAAAAAAACTTGGGAGGGAAGTGCCCCCCCTCCCGTTTTTAAGACATTTATTTAATTAAAGATATTAAGAAAACCATCAAACAAACAGAGATGACGAGTTAATAAAAACTTAAAGAGTTAATAAATTGGAAAAAATGAAAACTATAATAAATATAATATTTCTATATATTCTTTTAAAATATATATAATTTAATAGAATATATAGAACTGTTATGTTTATTATAATTTTCATTTTTTACTGTGTGTTTAACAACACCAATAAGATTAAATTTAATTAAACGATAATCAGAAAATTAAAAAAAGTTTTGATGAAAGCTATGTTTTAGCATGGTTTCTTATAAAGAAATTCCAAATGCAATCATTTTAACTAAAATTTCATATGCTTTTGTAAACGCATGTAAAAACCATGCTAAAACATAATTACTTTCTTCAGTTGCATATTTAATTATTAAACTTAAAAGTAATGCTATTGAAAAAATAATTAGAATGCTTTTTTTTTTAAATCATTAAAAATTTGTTTTAAATTTTAGTAACTTATTGTTTTTTTTATAATAAATAAAAAACTATCAATCGCATAATTATTTGGAAAAAAAAATTTCTGAAGTTAAGGGTCGTCCATAAAGTACATACACTTTTTGTCCACCTCCCCCCCCCTATTTTGCAATAGGCTTTTTTGAGTACCCACCACCTCCCTAAAAGTATCTACGCTTTAAACCTATTTATCTAACATTTTATGATATCTTTTTCAATTTAGTTTCTCTTTTCATTTATAATTAACCCATTGCCCTCTCATCGCATATATGTCATTTGCAGACCCCCTCTTCCTCTCCCAGCATAAGTAATATATGTACAATCCCTTATGCGTTCATTTTTAAGAATTTTAAGCATATGCCAACATTAGCTTAAGTAAAAGTAAGAAAATGTGACATTTAATTTTTTTAAAAAACAAGCATTCGCACGTTCGTTGATTTGTCGCGCCCTGACATTGTTTGTTTTTACGGCAAATATTACTTTTTTCTCAAAAACAAAATGCCTACATATGTTAATGTTTACGCCAAATTTCCTTATTTTCCTAGAATTGCCCCTATATATATATATATATATATATATATATATATATATATATATATATATATATATATATATATATATATATATATATATATATATATATATATATATATAATATATATAATATATATATATATATATATATATATATATATATATACATAATAATATATAATATATATATATATATATATATATATATATATATATACATATATATATAATATACATATATATATATATATATATATATATATATATATATAATATATATATATATATATATATATATATATATAATATATATATATATATATATATATATTTATATATATACTTTATAATTATGTATTGATTAGTTATGTTTAATACATTTAAAATTAAAGCATTAGTATAAAACAAATATTTAAACAAATATTTTTTATTACTGTTATTATATAGAATAAATATTAGCTTTAAAAAAATATCATTCAAGTCAAGATAACACACAGATATAACACAGACTAAAGTATGTGGATATTTTGCAAATATATCTATGAAAAAAAAATCTAAACAAAAATATGCTACCCTGCAATGTCTGATGTAACAAGATCATTACAACTGGATCCTGCAAAGATTGTTTTAGTGCCTGTTTAGATACAAGAGTGTCAAATAAAAAAGAAAAAAAATATAACAGAATTAAAAGCATTTATACTAACACTAACAAAGAAGTATAAAAATACAAAAATGTAAAGATATAAAAAAATACGAAAAAAATAACAGTCATATATCTATTAAAACATTAAAAAACTTATATAAACATTATAAAATATAAAAAAAGTTATATAAACAAATTTAAAAAACGAAAACAAATGCACATATTGAATGACATTCAAAAAATGGGACTGGGATTTAATTATCATAACTCCCTTAAAAAGTAAAGTAAATCAAAAAAGAAATTTTGTTTAAACAGATTTTATGATTTATAGCGAGTTTTATACCATTTTCTTTTCTTGCTATGTTTTAAAAAACCCATAGCAGTTTATTTTTATCAAAACTTTAAGTAAACTCGATTACATTCATTCAAGATTGTTCATGTAAAAACTTCATTATTTGTTTTAATCCAAAATTAAAAAGAAAGAATCAATAATTGACTTTTAATTTTTTTAAATTTTTGACAAGATAAACTAAAAAAACTTGCAACTGCTTCTTGATGGTCTAAATGTTTTGAAATAAACATTTTTTTTTCTTGGTTTTTAATAACTAACTTTTTTAGCAGCCTGAGAATCTAGTTGAGAATTTACATCTAGATGGTCAAACAATGATTTGATTTTTTTAAACTAATCCTCCACTTCCTTTGACTTTTTTGTAGCCAAATTCTCTTTTAGTACATTTAGTAGACAAATTCACTCTTAGTACAATTTGTAGCCAAATTCACTTTTAGAACATTTAGTAAACAAATTCACTCTTAGTACATTTAGTAGACAATTCACTTTTAGTACATTTAGTAGCCAAAATTACTTATAGTACATTTAATTATCACACAGATGATACTTTTAAGGAAATGCTCTTTGCTTTTAAGTGGAATATATAAAAAACATTTAATTTCTATTTACCTACTGAAATTTAAATAGTACTCATACACATGTTTTGTAATTTATAATATATAATAAAATCATAATATATTCTAAAATATGTTTTCTTATCATTTTAGCTTATATTTTAAGGAAGTTGAAAGTCTTTGAATCCAGTTCCATTTTTAGTTGTCACCCCTTAAATGCCTTTTTATTTGCTAAATATGAGCCATTCTATGCAATACTATATAAAGGATTTTACAACCAATTGCAACCAGTTGCAAAAGGTTGCAACTACTTACAAACTTTGCTTCTTAAATCCCATACTTTTATTGTTCTATCATAACTTCCAGACGCTATTTTGCTCGAATCTGTTCCAAGAAACTTTGCTGTCATTACTTTATTGCTGTGTCCTGTCAAAGTATGCTAAAGTGAATTTTATTAAATAAATCAAAATAAATAAGTAATTAGATAAAATAAAATTTTATCTAAATTAAAACCCTGACCACCCCTTTCCCTCCCTCCACCTTATCAGTAGCTAAATATTGTGCATTTAACAATCTACTTTTCACTATTTATTTCTTATTATTATATTACTATTGTATCAGTGCTGAAAATAACAGCTAATCGATGATCTCCTAATATTTATTTTGGCCAATCAAATTTAATTAGGAAAACTGTTAGGCAAACTTAATGAAAAATTCAAATTTTCTTCCAAAGTTTATTAAATGTTAAATGAATTTATATGAATGAATTAAATTTATTTTGAATGAAACAAATTTGAAATACTAGAAATGATATTTAAATCCAAATAATAAACAACAAGACACTTTGATCAATGAGAATAGTTTAGGATTGTTATGATCACTTAAAATCAATATAACAATTTAAACAATTTAATTTTGCCTGAGTTGTTATAAAGATGACGTTTAATGATCTCAAACTTTTGTTTGAGATCATTAAACGTCAAAGTCATGTGTTTTCATTTTAAGTATTATTAATGCACAATGGTTCAGGACCATGCTATAAATGCAAAAAAATTATTTATTTTATAATAAAAAGCAATTAAAAAATTATATTATATATGTTTTGTGAAAACTATATTTAAACTTTCAAGGTCTGTAACTTATAAAAAAATTATCTAAGAAGGATTCAAAAATTTCAAAAATTAAAGAAAATTACATTTTTTTCGGGGAAAAACCCAAAACTACCAACATTTATACATGCTCATTCTAGACAATGTCACAGATATACCAATTTTTTTATCATTATAATTATTAAAATCAACATAAAGTAATTTAAAATATACAACTTTATAAAAAAGACACAATTAGCTCCATGTTTAACCTTTTTTTAAAAAAATTTGAATTGTTAATTTAAAAAGGTCTTATAATATAATAATATAATGATCTTATAATATAAGATTTTATAAAAATCTCAAAAAAGTTAAAAAAAAGTAAACTATTTTGATAAACAACCTTTATTATTACACTATATTATATTTCAATAATGTTTTCATTAAAACCTTTTTTATTCTTTTTGATTTCAATAAACTTAACTCTTTATTTATTAAAAATATTTATTTTGTTTTACATTATTTATTATTTTAAGCATTTTACTGTAAAAGATGCACTGATTTTTTCATTGACATTAAATAAGGTAATTAGTATAATTAGGTAATTAGTAATGAGTTTCTTTTGAATTGGGGAGAATAACAATCAGGAGATAACATTAATATATTATAATCAGGAGATAACATTATTATATATACTATTATTATTAAGTAGATTATTTTATATGCTATTAGTTTAAAAAAAAAAAATTTCATAATATCATTATAATACTAATCGTTAAACTTCGTTTAACAAATAGTATTTATTTATCGCATTGTTTTCCTTTAACAAATTAAAGAAACATTAGAGTGGATTAAAAAATATGGTCAAAACATAGATTTTATGAAAATTTGATACAAGAATCATGACAACAACTATTCCTAATTACCTCAATGGCAAACTGTTTTCATATTTTCTTGTATTATGAACTGTAAAAAAAATGTAATTTTAACCTTTTTTAGAAAAAACAACAAAAAGTACGTGCCAGACAAAGAAAAGAAAGCAATAATGAAAAAAAATTTTTTTGAATGGAATACTGTTGTCACATTTCGGCTGGTTCTTCTAATGAAACCTTTAAGGTACGGTACAAAATTGCAATGTAAATGTTGTTGATCCTGCCGCTAACCGAGAGCCTCTGTCCAATTTTTACAAAGTTGTGTCAATTTTTTTTCTTCTAAATATACTAAAATGGTTGATTTTTTTGCTTGAAAATCTTCCTTGAACATTGAATTCTCTCTCATCAACACTTTTATCTGATAATTACTGACAATACAATTTAAAGTTTTGAAAGTCATCTGCCAACTGTTTTCTTGCTCTTCAACTCTTTTATATATAGATAAGTTTTATATATATATATATATATATATATATATATATATATATATATATATATATATATATATATATATATATATATATATATATATATATATATATATATATATATATATATATATATATATATATATATATATATATATATATATATATATATATATATATATATATATATATATATATATATATATATGATAAAATATCCCAAAAATATTTATAAAACTCAACTATACATTAAAACTAATTTTTATAGTTTTATATAACTTTTAAAACTAAACAACATTTTAAAAAAATTTTTTATAGTTTTTATATAATTTTTAAGAATAAACAACATTTAAAAAAAAAAAATTATTTTAAACCCAACTCCCATTTTATAAAAAAAAAAACTGTTATTTTAGTGCGACATAATTATAAGTCACTTTTGAAAAAATTTCATATAAATTGTCATTTTTATAAAAAGACATCTCAATTTTAAACAATCAATTGTGGGTACTATTCTTTTGAATCACTTCAATCACTCTAGAAGGTAAAGAATCATACAACTTTTTTATGTATGAAATGTCAATTGCATCCCATGCAGATGCAATGGATGAATTAAAGTCAGCTACTGGACTATATTGTTTACCACCTTCAAACACTATATGCGACAGCTGTGTCCAAGCATTCTCAATAATCTTAAGGTCTGGAGATCTAGCTGTTCAATGTTTCAATTTTACTGCTGTTGAAATATTCCTTTACTATCTTAGCTGTTGAATGCTAGCATTATCTTGCTGAAAAATAAAACTTTCACCACCTATAACAGATGTTTCACTTCTTAAAAATTCTTAAACAATTAAAAGATAATCCTTAGTCTTCATTTTTCTGTCAATAAAATGAGTTTTTGATTTACCCTGATACCCAATCGCACAACAAACCAATACACCACCACCACCCATTTAACGTTGTTGCTGTGTTATTGGTTCTTTATGCAAATTGTGAAAATAATAATTCCATCTACCCGGCCAATCAAAATAAAATCATTTTTAGTCAGAAAATACTACTTGTTGCCACTCTTCCATGTTACATGACCCTTTGCAAAAGTTATTTGATTGTTTATGTGATTTGTTGTTAAAGGTGGTTTTCCCTAAAGTTTTTTGTGCGAAAGGTAAAAAGTATTATGAATAACTCGCTAAACTGTTGAGTGCGGTACTACCAGGGACATGGTGGGGATCGATATTGGAACCTCTCGCTTATGATATATATATAATATTACATCTCTGATGTAATATTATATATATATATATATATATATATATATATATATATATATATATATATATATATATATATATATATATATATATATATATATATATATATATATATACATATATATATATATATATATATATATATATATATATATATATATATATATATATATATATATATATATATATATATATATATATATATATATATATAACTATGAATCAGTATAGACAACATCTCTGGCGTAACAATAAATATAAAAATAACAATAAAATTAAGCTAAAAAGTTTCTAATTCTTAGGGTAGATAATTTTTTTACATCATTTATATATATATATATATATATATATATATATATATATATATATATATATATATATATATATATATATATATATATATATATATATATATATATATATGTAAAGATCTTAAAAACACGGTATGAGCAATTTTGTTTTATTTGCTGACTTAAAGGGATCCCCAACTGCCAAAACAAGTTGTTTTCATATTAAAGAAAATGTTTAAAAAAAACATTTGGGCTAAAGTTTTTTGATTAAAACTAAATAATGAATGCACACCATTCATTTTAAAATTCACATTTTAGTCGAAGCTCACCGTCTCCATATTTTTGTTTCTTGGAGTCTGTATAATATTAGCTGCAATCTGCAGACTTGATAATTTATTCAGTGCGTGTTTAATTCATAACAGTTTCAGTATATAAAGTCATCATATAAATTTTTTCTTTCAAGATATAGTATTTATTTTTTACCACAATCACCAAATCATGTTAAATGTATAACTTTTTACTAAATCCCCAAAAAAAGTTGATATAATTAAAAAATAAATTTATAAAATGTGATATAATTAAAAAGTAAATAAAAATAAAAATTTAATATATAACGAATATTTGCAGTAAAACGTACTGGTTTAAACTAAATTTATATAAACTTAACAAAAAACCATTGACTTGAATAAAATATGTAAACTGAACTAAGTAGAAAATAAATATTAAACAAATTATTTTACTAATAACTGTACAAATTAAAGATAAAACAAGTATTTGTATTAAAATATACAAAAAAAAGTTATAAAATAAATATAAAAACGAAGAATCGCATTAACTCGTTCACTATCAGCCAAACAAAAATCTTTTCGTAGTGACCGCTCATTTTTTTGAATACAATTTGATGATATAACATTGACAATTAATTAAAATTCGAATAGTAAATCTCTTTAAAAGCATAACAAACTATATATCAATAGAAAGCGAAACAAATGTACTTTTTAATTAAGTTTTTAACACGCATGATTAAACAATAAGAAATGCAAAATGCTAAAAACCATTGTTTTTATAAATAGTAACTAAAACATAAGTCCCAAACAAAACTCATTTAATGAACAAAAAGTATATTTTCTCTTCAAAAGTAATTACTTTGGTAATTACTTAACTAAATACTTAACATTTATACAAGTTAAATTTTACAGTGTTAAAACTGTTTTATTTTATAACTTATAAATTAGTTATAAAATATAACATAAATTTAAAGAATTTTTTTTATGAAGGATTATTCATGATTTTTTAACTTTGTCAAGTGATAACTTTTTTATAATTACACAATATAGCTCTTATTTTTTCTTGATTATGTAGAGAATTAATTAAATCTTTAGAACAAACAAATTATATGTTTAGAATGGAAATTTTTGTACAAAACAAGATAAATTGTAAAACATACTTGAAAGCCGCTACCAGAGGCTTGCGGTAGTGAAAGAGTAACTATGTGTAAATTAAACATTTATCGAACAACTCTATTAAACCATATGAACTAAATATAAAACGAAAAACCGCATCATACTGCCTTTATTTTTTCTTTGTCTGCAAACTGCAAACAAATCACAAAATATGTAAAATTGTGTCATGATTTTGGCTGGGTTCTAAAACAAAGTAAAAATAAAGCAAGTAAAAAAAAAAATTATAAATATAAAAAAATATATATATTTGTATAATTTTTTACTAAATCATAAATATTTTTTGTGATTTAGTAATAAATTATACAAATACTTGATTTTCTCATTGTAGTAGAAAAAATATATATCTTTAAAAATACTATAACAAAAAAAGGCTATCTTAAAAAGACATTGTGATGACATCATATACTGAAGCTGTTATGAATTAAACATGCATTTATTAAATTATCAAGTCTGCAGATTACGGTTAACATTATACAGACTCCTAGAACCAAAAAAAGATAAAGAAGGCGAGCTTCGACTAAAACGATAACTTTAATTTTGTTGGTATGCGTTTATTATTTAGTTCAAAAAAAAAAAAAATCAGCCCAAATGTTTTTTTAATCATTTTCTTAAATATGAACACAACTTGTCTCGGCAGTAGGGGATCCCTTTAAATAAAATTGTTACGTAAAAAAATAACAACCACACAAATATATATATAATATATATATATATATATATATATATATATATTTAAACTTTAATATTTCAATTTATTATATTAAACATCAGATAAAACTAGAAAAATAAAGCACGATAATGTACGATATAAATATTAAAAAACAAGCACTAATCACAACAATCTAAAGGACTTTAACAGTGATCGAATATTTTAAATAAAAGAAATTGTTAAATAAGATATAAAATACTTTTATATCTTATTTAAATCTCATTCAATATTTTATTATAAATTTAATGCTTAGGCTGATACAAATATAAAATTAAAAGACGGAGGAGTTAATATATAAAAACTAATTTAAACTTTTTAATAGTTACTTTAAAACAAAAAACAAAAAGAAACTCTAATAAAAAATTTAAAAATTTTTTTTTCTTAAAATAATTAAATTCTAATTCGAAACATTTAAATTTTTAAATAAATAATTCCATAAACTTTTTCTCCTAAATAAAAATCTATTTTAATGTTTTATATAATCTGCAAGTAGCTTTAGCATACTTTTTAATTGTTTTTTTTCTATACATAGTTTCATACATTGCGCAAATGGCTTAAGCATAGTTTTTCATTGGTTGATTTTTAAATTACCGCAAAAGTTTTTCGTACCTTTAGTAATAATAATTTTTGTCTAGCAACTTTTTTTATTTATAATCCTTAAATTACATATTATTAATTATTGTTTAAAAAAACAATAACTAATAATATACAAATTTTGACTGTTATTATTATTGCAGTAGTAAATTTTTTGTTTTTCTTTTTCGTTAATAATTGCAATATGATAAACTCATTAAAACAGTTTTTACGGATTCATTAAAACAGTGTTTACGGTTTTTAAAAAAAATAAGAATTTAATGACCACAGATATTTCCGGCGATCACTTAATTTGAGCCCTGAAATGTGCCAGCGTGAATAGCATGCAGAGCTTCTAAACAAAAAAGCTGTGGTTCAAGTCCTATCACTGGTGACTTTTATTTTTTTAATTTCTTTCGATAATTTTAAAATACAAAATACTTTTGAAGTTTTAAAGAGATAGGTTATATACAAACACGTAACGATATTATACACTTTTACTAACAAAAAGGTTTTTACAAAAGCTAAAAACATCGAAACACCAGGAGAAAAAATTTGTTGCGTATGTGTCATGATCGAGATACTTATGTTATTAATGAGCTCAGGTAACTAGTCCTAGTAAGCTGCAAATGGTCTGAAAAAAAATGTCTGAAACTTAATAAGGAAAAAATTTAATAATAATTATATGGATGATACAACAAAAATTATGAAATGAATTAGACTTAAAATTTGAAAGCTTTTATAAAAAGTCATTAAACCAAAAAGATTAAAAGTAACTGCAGTTCAGTGAAAATTAAAATTCATTAGTTAAATTTAGTTCAGTAAAACTTAAAAATTCTAAGAACAGTATATTGGTGTTTGCAAAGAAACATATAAATCATTTTTTAATATAAACTAACTTTTTTTTCAATTTTATTGTATAGACAGGTTTTTGTGTATTATCAGCTAATATATATATATATATATATATATATATATATATATATATATATATATATATATATATATATATAATATGATATATATATATATATCATATATATATATATATATATATATATATATATATATATATATATATATATATATATATATATATATATATATATATATATATATATATATATATGATAAAAATGGTAACTTACTCGTAATCTTAAATCATTTATACTCCATATCCAACAAGCATTATCATTTGACGAAGCCAAGATCAATTTTTCCTGAATTCAAAAGCAAAAAAATAAAGAAAACTCATTAAATGAAATGCATTAATTATTTTTCAAAAGTCATTTGAGTTGCACTGCATGCAGTTAAATACATTTTAAAATTGTTTGTATTGCATTGCATGTAGTTACATACACTATGAAATTCATTTGCATTGCATTGCATACATATTTAAATTTACTCCAGAGGATTGTCAAACTTAAAAATAAAACAATGATAATATACAGCCTTCAAAATTTAATAGTTGACAAGCCAAACAGATTACCATATTTACTAAAACTGCTTTTGTTTAGCTTTCCTAAGCATAAAATCAAGTTTTTCAAAAAAAAAAAAATTTTTTATGAAAAACACAGTTGAAATTTTTTTTTTCAGCATTTGTTTAAAAACAAAAAACATATTTTTATAAATACAAATATATTTTATAAAACTATTTCTAATAATCCATAATTTTAAAATTATTTTTAATAATACTAATATATTCGTAATCGGGTCTATAAAATTTTTTAATTTATTATAATATATTTTAATTTATTACAATATATTTTAATTGTGATATTTAGTTTTTTTATAAATCATTATTATTTAACAAATTAGTTAGCTATAATTATAATTATCTATCATTATTATTTGTTAATACCATAACTATTATTTGCTATTATATATAATATATACAGTGCAATTAACAAGTATGTACAAATTATAAAGTAAACTCTGACAATTACATGAAAAATATAAAGCAACCCCCTGTAATAAAAGACATTTTTATTCATTATCAATATATCTCTAATTTTAGAAACTAGCAGCTTATAAAGTCAATTTTATTTCTAATATATTTTTTATTTAAATACTGAAGTAGACTAGCTTAATCCAATTTCATTTTTTCTTAGTTTTTGAGCCTCACCTTCACTTATTCTTTTTTTAATATACAGACAGATAAAACAAAAGATAAAATAAAAGATAAAAAATATGTAAAAAAGAAAAAGAAAATAGAAGTAAAGCACTGCACTGCAAAGGAGCAAACAATTAGTCTAAACTTACTTAGGATTAGGATTAATGTAAAGGATTAAAGCGTAAACAAATTTTTTTATAATCTTATTTAGTTATAAAGTAAATAAAATTATCTCACCAAAAGATCAAATCTTGTACAAGTTACAGATTGTCGACAACCAGTTAAAGTTGCTAACTCCTTAAATGCACCTTTAAAAAGAACTTTCAAATCACATTCCTAATATATATATATTTTTTTATATTAATAAATTTCATACTTTGCGGACCTCAATTTTTAGAGGTTGGCAAAAAAAAATTAATACAAAGGTTTTACCATAAAACAATGACACAAGGTCGGTAATTTTTTTTTGCAGTTAATTTGGCATTGCAGAATGCCAACCCTAATTCCGAGGGTTATATATATGTATATATATGTATATATATATATATATATATATATATATATATATATATATATATATATATATATATATATATATATATATATGTATATATATATATATATATATATATATAATATATATATATATATATAATAATAGAGTTTGATTATTTGAAAAAATACAACTTTGTGATGGAACTTGAAGTTTCATGCCCTTGGGCAATCATCAGCCATATTTTATTCTTTTAAATCAAGAAAAACCGTTAAAAAATACAAAATACAAAAATTAACAGAAAAAACAATAACAAAGCAATAGAAAGAAAACAAGAACAAAAGACAATCGTTTGCAGTTTTAATGAATGAATTATTAAATTTATTCATTGAAACTTTGATCTATTTTAATTGTGTACATTGCTTTTAAATACAGTTTTAAAAGATTGAAACGATTAGTTACATATATTGTATTTTTTTATTTTCATTCTCATTTTTAAATTACAAATGTAAAAAGTAAAAAAAAATTCTAAATAGTATTTAATTTTTAACAAAACACTTTTGATGATTTCCACAATCCTCTTGTTACTTTTCAAATTGCTAAAACAACTTTTTAATTAACGACTGTTGATAAAAACACTATACATTATAAGTAGGATTGCCAGAATTTCGGCTTTTACAAAGAAAAACACAGTAAAAACAAATATTTTTACAGGTTTGTATTCTGTTTTGTATAGACTAAACGATTGGCAACCCCAATGTTCAAATCAGCGCTGCCTCAAGCGCTGCGAGGTGTGCGTTTTTTTAAACCTTGAATATAGTTAAGGTTTAAAAAACCTTGCAAAAAACCAATACCTCACCGCCTTGAGGTGGCACTAAAAGCTTAAAATAACTTACATAACTAAACTTTAAATATACATGTAAATTTTTACGCAAATATAACAGATAATACATTTCATTGCAAGTATTTTTTGTTGATTTTTTTGTTATTGTTATTTTTAGTTTACTTTACCAGCTAATTTACTTTACTGAAAGTATTAATAAATCTTTTATATTAAATTTTATAATAAAATTTATAAACTTATTTTAAAGTATAATATTTATTAATAAGCAAATTATTGTTATGTGTTGAACATATGCAAAAAGTAAAATCGTTATAAGAGATCAATTTCTTTAACTTTTTAAATTTTTATAATGACCTCTGAAAATTCTTTTTAAAAATAAACTTAAAAATCAATTTTAACTAAAAATATCTAAAATATATTAGTTTTGTAACTTTCCTTACTTTAGATAAACAGACAAAATGTAAATAAAGAGTTTTTGAATAAAAAAAATAAATTGTTAAAATAATTTATTAAACATTTTTATTAAACATTGAAAAACCTTAACTAGAGAATAACTGACGTCAATAAAAAAATAAAAATAAAAGTTTTTTTAACTTTTGAATGAATGATCTTGTTATTGTTAATGACAAGTGTTAATGACGACACGTTTTTACACATTAAAAAAATTGATTAACAATTCGTTTCCTCATTTGCATACTATTGCATTTTTTACTAGTCTAGCACAACACTTTAAATCTAAGACTGAATTTTTTTTTTTTTAACTATATTATGAACCTTTAGAAATTTTAAACCAAATAAAAATACTGCGTTATACGAGGTGCCATCAGGCTGGCCAACACCCTGATATATATATATATATATATATATATATATATATATATATATATATATATATATATATATATATATATATATATATATACATATATATATATATATATATATATATATATATATATATATATATATGTATGTATGTGTGTATGTATGTATGTATGTATGTATGTATGTATGTATGTATGTATGTATGTATGTATATATATTAGGGTTAGCCATATATACATTTTTTAAAGTTTAGGTTTGCTATACCACAGGAAATTTGCTTCTAGGGTCTATATTGGAATCATTTTTTTTTTTTTTTTGCATTTTTCTATTTAAGAAAAATGCAAAAAAAAAAAAAATTCCAATTTTTTATGTCTAGAGATAGCACATCACACTTTAATAAATGTACATTTTTAACCATTTTTACGATAAGAGAATAAAATAAATGAAGCTATAAAAAAATTGCTAGGGACTAATTAAAGATAAAAAATAAATGAAATAAAAAATCATTTATAAATAAAAAAAGAATTGTTGAAAATGGCTACAAACAGTCCAATCTCATAAAAATCATAAAAGAAATAAAACAAAAGTACAAAAAATCTTTAGTGACTACTAAAAACATTGACAACATCACCAGCACGTATCCAACCATTTCGTTACCTTGGGTACCAAAATTGTCTCCAAAATTGTGTAAAGTGTTTAGGAAGGCAGGATATAAAACGGTCTTTAAATCAAACTTGAACCTGGAGACATTATTAACATTAAGAAATAAATCCAAACTAAAAATGAACAGCCACCCAGGAGTCTACCTTATTAAATGTCATTGTAGCAAAAAGTAAATAGGTGAAACAAAAATGCAAATAAAAACATGCATGCAACAACACAAAAATAGTACAACAGGAAATAAAACAGAACGATCTGCAATAGCCACATACATGAGACATTGTACACAACAAATTAACTGGGACAGTTGCAGAACTCTAAAAGTCAATGCTAAAAAGTTTGATAAAAAAGTTTGTGAGGCACTTGAAATATAGTACTACAAATGTGCCCCTCAACAGAATGGTATCAATTTAGAAAATCATAAACAAGTATTACCATTTGATTTTACATGCTTCCCATTTAAGTCAGTAAGTTGTGGAGTTCCACAAAGATCAATACTTAGACCATTGCTGTTTTTAAATTAAATTTATACTTTTTGTTTATACATAGCCATATTAGCTATTGTAATATTGCCTGGGCAAATAATCACTCATCTTTCCGAAAACCTATTTATACAAAACAAAAGCAAGCAAGTCGATTAGTTTCAGGCATGGATAGATACAAATGTGACAAGCCATTACTCAAGGAAATAAATGTCCTAAATGTATACAAATTAAACATTTACCATAATTTGTTATTTATGTTTAAACTTCAAAACAAATTAATTCCAAATTATTTTTATAAAAACTTCTCTCTTATTAATCATAAATATAAATCAAGACACTCAATAAATAATTACTAAATCCCACTAACATTACTTAAAAAATCTGACTTCTCAATTACATGTCAAGGACCACGCTTGTGGAACTTGGTTCTTGACGAAAATATGAAAAAAAAATCTATTGATATATTTAAAAGAGCTATAAAAAAACGCTTACTAAATCTAAACAGTACATTCTTTCATTTTTTTAATTAAAAAAAATATTTGTATATATATATATATATATATATATATATATATATATATATATATATATATATATATATATATATATATATATATATATATATATATATATATATATATATATATACATATATATATATATATATATATATATATATATATATATATATATATATATACATATATGTTTCCACCTCTTATGTATGGTTCAGACTTTGTCACCTTACCTAAAGACAAAGCTGAATTGTTTGCTAAGAACTTTTCATCAATATCATTTCTTGATTCCACTAGTTTGATCCATTGCTCAACATCAATATCACTCCAGCTTCTGTATCTAAAGTGATTTCCTGCTTAGACTTTTCTACAGCTTGCAGCCCGGACAACATACCTATTATAGTCTTGCAGAAGTGTTCTATAGAGCTGTCGTGTATCCTTTTAAAACTATTCAACAAATGCTTATCAGAGTCTTGTTTTTCAGCCTGCTGGAAAGCAACATCTGTTATCCCTATTTTTAAAAATTCTGGAGAGCGACCTGATTCGTCTAACTACCGTCCCATTAGTCTTCTTCCTATCATAAACAAGGTTTTTGAATCTTTAATTAACAATCACTTAATCTCTCATTTTGAATCTAATATTTTATTTTCTGATCATCGATATGGATTTGGATCTTCTCGCTCTACGGCTGATTTGCTAGCAGTAATAACCTATAGGTTTTTTCGCGCATTAGATAAAGGTGGAGAGGTTAAGGTCATCGCTCTTGACATTTCTAAAGTGTTTGATAAAGTTTGGCAAGCTGGTCTTTTCCATAAGCTTTCTTCTTACGGTGTATCTGGAAACATCTTTATGATTATTGAATCCTTTCTTTCCAATCGTAGTATATAAGTTGCCCTTGATGAACAGCACTCTTCTTCTGATTCTATAACCTCAGGGGTTCCTCAAGGTTCAATCCTTGGCCCTATACTCTTTTTAAATTACATTAACAATCTTCCAGATATTTTCACATCTAAGGTGGCATCTCATGTTACTTGTCATTCAATTAAGTCTCATCCTTTTTCTGTTACTGTTCCTAAGTGCTCCAAAAACTCTTATTTGTCTAGTTTTTTTCTTCGAACATCAGTTCTTTGGAATTCACTTCCTTCATCTTGCTTTCCTGATTCATATAATTTGCAATCTTTTAATTCATATGTCAATCGTTATCTTGCTCTACAATCTTCATCTTTTCTCTTCAAGTAACTTCCAACACTAATCAGTAGTTGCTTGTAGCCTTGTTGGAAGCGAAGATGTTAAAAAAAAAAAATGTATGTATATATATAAATACATACAGTGTGTATGTGTATGTGTATGTATATATATATATATATATATATATATATATATATATATATATATATATATATATATATATATATATGTGTATATATATATATATATATATATATATATATATATATATATATCAGGCCTTGTTACGAGATTTCGCTGCGTAACGGAAAAGCGAAACGTGAATAAATGTAACTTTACTCAATAAATATATTTACATTGTTAAAAGTTAATTTACGTCAGTTGCGTTTTTACTTCATTGTAATTAAATTTAAAATGACATTAAAAACTATTGTTAGTCTTTGAAACGAAATAGCTTTAAATTGAACAATGTTGTTATAAAAAAAAAAAATTTCAATGTTGATTAAAAAAAAGTTTTCTTGTATTAAAATCTTATACTTATTTAAACTTAATTTTTTTGCTTTTAAACATTCGTTTTATGGTTGTTGTTTTTTTTATTTTTTTTTAAATAATTTAAATTTAACACTTGTTTTTGGTTGATTTTCTTGAAGAGATATAAATGTACTTACATAGATTGGGTTTTCCCCTTTAAAAAAAAACGTTTGTACTAACTGGTTTTGATAAAATAAATGTTGTAAAGAAACGAAATTTACTGCTTTTTCGGCTTTGTTTTTTTTTTATTTCCATTAAAATATTTTATTTTTATGTACAGTGAAACCTAATATTTTTTTACTCAATCCAAAAAAAAAAATAGTGTTTTCGGTTTTAAGATGTTATAACCAGAATTTGTTTTTAACAAATATCATTATAATTTTGAAATTTATGTATCTTATATTTTTAGCTCAAGTACTAGTTTAGTTTTTAAAATAAAATAAAGATAAATTGGACTTTTAAAGAGTTTATTTACTGATAGCGTTATTTTTAATAAGTTTGAATTTTAGTTTGTTCAAGGACGTATTATTATTAATACGTCCTTGGTTTTAATGCGCTACTGTAAATAATGAATGAAACTGTAAAATAATGGAAAAATAAAAACTGGAAAATAATGTGCTTTTGTTAAGCGCATTATTCAGACCAGTATTTGGAACTTACTTAAAACTTAACTAAAATTAAAATAAAGTTATATGTAATACGAACATTTTAAAGTAATTTGAATGAAATTTATTAAATCTTTTTTTACTTTGGTAATTTTATCATAAAAAAAACGGAGCATTTTAAAATTAAAAAATTTTAAAATGCTCTGTTTTAAAATTAAATGAATAAATTTTAATTAAATTTAATAAATTTATTTAATAAAAACTATATTTATTAAAAAATATTTAAATTTAATAAAATAAATTGAAAATATTTCTTTTTTTAAATTTGATTGTTTATAAACTTATGAAATCTAATATTTAAAATTAAATATGATGAAAAGTTTAAACTTAAAACACTTTATTTTCTTTAAGTAATTTTTAAAAACTATTAAGCAAATTGTTTCTTTAACAAAAAATCTATTAGTTTACAATTGCGGTTAAATGCTTTTACTAACGACTTTAAAACTTCCGAATGAACGTCACATAAACGATATAAAAAGATAATTTAAATATTCTAAAAGATAAGTTTTTGCGTAACGCATAACTGCTGAACGCGTAGGCAAATCGCCTTTTCACAGGCAAAATGCGAGCTGCGTAACGCTTCTTAACAAGGCCTGTAATATATATATATATATATATATATATATATATATATATATATATATATATATATATATATATTATATATATATATATATATACATATATACACTTCCTTCTTATGTATTTATATATATATTCTTCTTGTTTCTATTTGTTTGTCTGTTTTAATTTTGTTTTTAAAAAAAATATGAATGATGAATTTAAATCTATAAAATGTTCGGAATCTTTTAAAACTTAAAATATCTTTTGTATATTTAAATATATATTATGAAGTTTATTGAATATGTATACGCATATGTACCAATTTGTAAATAATTTTTTTCAAACATTTTAAATTTTTTATTATTTCTAAACTTTTTAGTTTTGTCAAACTTAAAAAAATTTTTTTAAAACTTAAATTTTTCAAACTTTATAATTTGTTTTTTTTTTATACTTTTTTTAATTTCACTCTTTTATATGTTATTTGAAGTTGTAATATTTTATTTTATTTTTTTCTATTTCCACGAAGGGGCTTGATGATAAGACATTTTGTCTTCTACTTCCCGCAGTCAGCTTGTAATTGTATAAATTTATTTGAATGTAAGATTAACATTGTAAAATGTGTCAAATGATGAAAATAATAATAATAATAAAAAAATTTAGATACGGGACAATATGTCAACAAAATTTCGGACACCATTTATAGCGCACTTATTTCAGAAAAAGACAAAACCATCCATAAATCATTGACATAAAATAGAACTGCCATTTTTAAAAATAACATATAAACAAAAACAAACAAAAAACTTTTAACCTGAAGACGCTGGTCACAACAATCCAGCAAAAATTTCTTATAAAAAATAAATTTAGTATTGAGATAAAATTGTATTTATTTACAAACATTGAAAAATATATATCCACATTAAAATATATATATATATATATATATATATATTATATATATATATATATATATATATATATATATATATATATATATATATATATATATATATATATATATGTATATATATATATATATATATATATATATATATATATGTATATATATATATATATATATATATATATATATATATATATATATATATATAATACATATATATATATATATATATATATATATATATATATATATATATATATACATATATATATATGTATATATATATATATATATAACGCTAAATTATATTCATGCTAGTTCTAACCACCCACAAATATAATATGATAATAGTGTATAATGACTGTATATATATATATATATATATATATATATATATATATATATATATATATATATATATATATATTATATATATATATATATATATATATATATATATATATATATATACATATATATATATGTATATATATATATATATAACGCTAAATTATATTCATGCTAGTTCTAACCACCCACAAATATAATATGATAATAGTGTATAATGACTGTAGTACATAATATATAACGACTGTAATTTGATCTAATTTGTGAAAATGATTGATAATTCTTTTCCAGACAAAAATTGTATTTCTAACAGGAAAAAAAAAAATTGTATTTCTAACAGGAATATTTGACCACTTGCCTCTTTATCAAGAGGTCTGTGATTGAATGTTAGCTATGGCTATATTTGCAACATCAATAAGAAATGTGGTGTGAAATTCCTAAGTCTTTTGTGAAGCTCAATGATAAAGCCATAAGCAATTTAACATTTATCTTTGACTCACTATACTCACTCGCAACTGAATTACTCAGTAAGTCAGCTTAATTAGACATACTTAATTACATAAATAAAATATGAATGTAATAAAACTTAATTATCAAGTGATTAACTAAATTACTCAAAAATACAATTAAATAAGTATAACTTTTTTAAAATAAGGAAATTTTTTTTTTTTGAACAACATATAAATTTCATTTATAATTTTTTTTACAAAAGTATTGTTTAATTTAAAGATATTTAAAGATATCACTTTTAATGATTTTTAACGTGGTTTCAAATTAAAATTAATTACAATGCAGTACTTTAAAATATGATATTGAGATAATTTAACTTTTAACGACAAATGTATATTTTATAAAGTTACATTTACTTGCATTACACAATAAAATCTTATAACAAGGCCTATGTACAAATTTTATTTATTTATTTTTATCTAAATTTTATAAATGTTATATATTTATTTGCATAATTATATACAAAAATTTATTGTCAAAAAATATACCTCTTCCATCTATTTCCCAGATTTTAACTTTTCGATCTGAACCACCTGTTACAAAGTATTTTCCAGAAGGACTAAAACGCACTGTCATGACTTCTCCTTCATGGCACTCCTATTTGACAAAAAAAAAGAAATTTGCATTTAATGAAAACGTGTAATATAATGACAACAACAATAGAAATATACAAGCCTGCAAAGTAGAATAAAACCAGAAAGTTTGATATCCTTTTTCCAAATTTTTCTCCTGCAAAAATTAAATAAGTGTCACAGTTGCTACACTGTAGAGTTTTTCAAATACGTTGTTTAGTTACAAAACTATGCATGCATTTAAATGAGTTGTTTAGTTACAAAACTATGCATGCTGCATCTAAATAAGTTGCTTAGGCACAAAGCTATGGATGCTACATTTAAATGAGATGCACATTACAGAACTACAGATGCTACATTTAAATGAATTGCTTAGTCACAACTAGATATATATTTATATATAAACCATAACAAAGAAAACATAATAATGCTAATTAATGATCATTAATGCTAATTAATGATAAAATACTAAATTGCATATCTTTAAAAGTACATTTGACTCTTTAAAAACTGTTCTACTGATTTTAAAAGATCATTTTATTTAACAAACCAAGTTTGTTTAAACAGAAAACCAAGTTTGTTTAAGAACAGAGTTTGTCAATAAAAAAAAATTCTGTTCGTACAATTTATAAAGATTTGTTACTACTTTTCAAGGTGAATAGTAAAAGAGAAATACTTGCCATCCTTTCGGCTAAATATCTGTATTAGTCCTTAAACAAGATCTTTTTAAGATCTTGTTTAAGGACTAATAATAATACTTGGTATTAGTCCTTAAACAAGATCTTACCAAACCTTTTAAAAATGCTTTGTGTAGAAAAGATAAATGTTATATAAAAAATTTAATAAAAGAAGCTCCTCTTTATTCTTATATTAACAGAACTTACTGTTGATTGTGTGGGTCGATCTGGGACAGAAGTTAAGCAGATCATTCCTAGGCTAGAATAGCTTGAAGATCTCTTTCCATTCTCAGGGCTTAGTGATCTAAAAAATGTAAATTTTTTTATTTTTTTATTTTTTAATATGTATTTAAAATTTTACAATTATATAAAAAAAAACATATATGGACATTAAGGTTGTTCATAGAAGCAATTTTTTTGAATTCTCCAACCTCCTAAATTTGTTTAATATAATAAAATAACACTGGATTTAAAAAATCTTTGAATAAAAAAATATTCTTAGAAGATCATACAAACCTTATTGAATACTAAATGGGTTTTTAATACAAAAGTATATTATGTTATGTTAATGGGTTTTTAGTTTAAAAATAATTTGTTATAAAATGTAAAATGAATATATATTTTTTTAATCTAAAAAACCTTAGTTTTTATGCAATCAAATCTAAAATGATCATTTTGTATGAAATAATTATTTTTGAAATTTTGACATAATTTTTCTTCTTTTGAGATTCAGGTTGAACTTTTTTTTAATTAATATTAGGGACCCAATTAATATTCAAAGGTCTTGAGGAACCGCTTAAAAATTTTTTTTATTTTTGAAATCTTTAAACACAGTCCTTTTTTATTATATTAAACACATTTAGGGGGTTGAATCAAGTATTTTCAAAAAAGCTGCTTTTACTAACCATTCAAATAAACTTTTTAGTATACACAGTATACATTCAAATGCAGCATATTCAGGGTTAAGAAAAACAGAAAAATAAAATGGTCTCTCCCTCCAATAAGATGGTTGTGTCTAGTTTTACTAATTAGCTTGCGAAAATTTGATTTAAAAACCTGCTAGCTAAGTTGTATAATCTAAGTATTATAGATTAATTTTTAATACCACCCACAACCACCACCAATCTTTATAAGTTCAAATATTTTATGGCCATAAAAATTATGCATATAAATTATAACTATTTAATGTAAGTATTTAATGATTTGTTTTATTTATTACACAGGTGGTAGAAAAATAGGTTCGTTTGCTGCATCGATCAATTCTTGTTGAAGCTTTTGTTGCCTCCTACTAAAAAAACAAGTTAAATAATTACTGAAATGTAAAAAAAAAAGTAAAGAGTATGATCTGCTGAATTAATAATACCTAGCCAAAACTTCATTTTGCATGTTAAGAAGATCTGCTTCTAATGCTTTTTGATGCATACACCTTTGTACCTAAAATAAAATGGAAGTTTTAAAATAATTGTTTTTGTGCACACGCACAAATACACACAGATGTGTATTTGTGCACACGCACAAATACACACAAATACACAAATATTGGCAAAGTAAACAGATCATGTGTTTTTTAAATTTATTATTTTTAAATTTATTTGAAAATTTTAATTTTAAAGCTAATTTTATATATGTACCATTATTGTCTATTGACTTGTTGTGCAAGCTTTTGATTAGTGATTACAAAAAATAACAGTAATCTCAAATGAATAATCTAAAACAAAAAGTCTGTTAAGGAGAATTAATGAGACAGACTTTGAATCCAAGAAATGATTGAGGACCTGTTGAAGTGACTCATTGTACAAGCGGTTTATTAGAACAAATAATAATCTGAATAATAATAATAATCTTAAATGACTAATCTAAAACTAATCTAAAACACTAAGTCTGTTATAGAGAGTTAATGAGACAAAACTTTGTCTCATTAACTCTCAGAAAATTTAAAATAGTACTGCTTGAAACATTTTTGAATTCAGAACAGATGGTTGTTATTGCAGGTAGTAGGTTGTTGCCTAGTTAAACATACAGTGCAAAGACAAGATGCTCACGCAGGTGTCTATTAAATTTTAAATAAAAAAAAAGCTCTGTAACAAATTTTTTTAGTTGATACTGATGTCAAGGTAAAAATTACAAAAAAACAATTTGTATTTTTTAATTTAATTTTTTTAGAAATAATTATCTTATTAAACATTTTTTATCTATTTAGTGATATTTTTGTTTACATTTTATTTTTGACCCTTTAGTATTTATTATCATTTCTTATCATAATTTTTTTTGTTTTACCTAAATTCAGAAAAAAAAAAATAACAGGTTAGTTTGAAATATTTTTCCTTTGGATTGATAACTACAGCTTTGTTGACAAAATCATTTTTTTTCACATACTTTAAAGATAGAATAATTTTAGTAACTTTTTAACATTTTTTTTTAATTTAGAACACATGTAATACATTTTTAAGTAACACATGCTTGCATGTATTACTTAAAAAATTGTGTGTATTGCAAAGTTCTAATTTGAAATAATAATATACACAATGAAGAATAAACATTCAATTTTTATTCTCATGTTTATACTATTGCATATAACTTTAAGTTAAATTCAACTTACCAACTCTTGGTATTCAAACTGAAGATTTTTATACTTTTCTTCTGTTGAATTGCAAAGCATTTGAAGAGCCTGGTGCTCATCCTTAATTGCCTATTCAAATAAATGTTTTTTATTCTTAACATGTTTCCTTTTTTACATTTTCAAAAGATTTTACAACAAAAATAACAAACTCTTGAAAAAATATTTAAAATAGAAGACTTTACAGAAAAAATTTAACAGACAAAAATATACATAATGACTCCATAAATAGCCAATCAATATCAACAAAATAAAATAATAATAATAATAATAATAATAATAATGATAATTAATAATGTTTAAATTATAAATTAAAATTATAAGTTTATAGTTTATAGAAATAGTTTATCCCATTTTTTAACTAAATAATTAAACTAAATTTATTTAAGAACAATTAAACTTTCACAACAACAACATAGAAACAAGGTTGGCAAAAAATTATCAACCTCTGACACTATTAGGTTCACAATTAGGCTGACATTGAGTAATACTGAACTAACTTTAAAAGCACTCGCCAAAAGTGTTTTTATTAATCAAGAATGTTAGAAGATCACAGACGACCAGATATCGCTCTAGTTTTAACCATCAAGCGATATCACAACAATATATAGATACTATTATCCACAAATGTTGCAGAGTATTGCTTCCAGTTTTTTAAATATTAAACAATTTGTTTTATAACCAAAAGTAAAGAAATTCAGAGGAAACTTAAATTTATTCAATAAGATTCATAAAATAGATCACTTAATGATATTGACAAAAGCACTCTAGAACAAGAGAAAAGTGACAGAAAAGCCCACTTCAAGGTGTAGTTAAGACAATTTATAAACTATTCAAATTTTTGATTTGAAATTAGCATGATCTTGTCAGCGTATTATATCCAAACAAAAGCTTTAGATGCTACAATTGTTTTTGCTTTAAGTTTTTATAATGTTTAAAGAAACTTTTCTCCTTTTTTATACTACTTTCAAAACTTTTTTATTACCCATTATTGTGAATTTAAAGAACACCAATTTTGAGTCTTTAAATCAATTCTGTTTAACAGCATTAACTAAATTTTAATTTAAAAATTTTGAAAAAGTGCTTCAATCTACTAAAGATCCTAGCTCTAATCTGTTCTAGTGCATATTAATTGAATATTTAATTTTGTTAATATTTATAAGAAAAGATAAATTTTGCAAGTCCTATAGTGTTTTATAATCATAAAAATACTCAAATATAACAAAATACTCAAATAAAAAGCTGCTTGTTGTCTTCATATATGATTGCAAAAAAAAATGTTGTATAGCTGCTGCAGCAAAAGCAAAGGCTACTTTGCAGGACTTGGGTTAATAAATAATGGTTAAAAAAGTATAGAAAATGACCAAATGATAAGTAGACAAGAAAAATCAAAGAACAAGAAAAAATGCATTCAATGCATTAAGTCCGTTAGGACATGATAATCAAAAAATGCAACCTATTTTTACAAAATGGCTACTACTTTCAGTAATAGAAGAGCAATACTCAAAATTTTGTGGGTGTTTAACACTAGGGCCCAGTACTATAGGATATTAAATATAAGATATTAAACATAAGATATTAAACATAACGAACAAATTAGGAATTTAATCGAACTTTAGAGGATATTGTAGATATTGAACATAATAAACAAATGAGGAGCTTTATCGAACTTTATATGTGTATGATAAAACTGTTTTAAATACTGGAGATGATAAATAAAATAATGGTGTTATTTCATTGATGGATAATAAAAAGCAAGATCACTGCAATGTTAGTTTCCTTATTCCATGGTAACAAACTGTCGCCATGTAACATAGACACCATTATTTTTGTTCCTTAGATGGAAAAACTAGTGGTCTTAATCAGTTTAAAGGAGAGCCAGGTAAGCAGCTGCAAAACCCCTAATGAAAGCCCCTAATGACAAACTGTTATTAAGCCCCTAATGACAAACCGTATTTCCAATTATTTCCCTTAACAATTCATTAACAAAACATTAGTTTTATTAATAAATTGTTATTCCCTGAGTCATCCCAAACTGTCTGTGGATCATCTTTAAGAGAAAGTTTTATAAAAGCAAAAATTGAATTTAAAAATAAAATGCTAAAACTTGATACAAAAAAAACATTTCAATATGTCACAGTAAAAAGCAGTAAAAAGCATATGTTAGAAACATTGAAAATCTTATCAGTTACTTAAATGATACAAATTTTTTTTTTTCTTATTTTATACTATTTTTTTTAGGAGGTAATAAACAAAATTAGTACATTAATAAATGTATGAGATAACAAACGATTTATCTGGTTATCAAAGCATAATGAATTGGTAAAAAATGAGAAAAATAGTATTTGTTATAAATATTTTATGTTATTGGATATTTTATGAAAACTGTTTCTTTTTTTAGTTTAATAGAACATTAATGTTACTAATTTCACAGTATGTGTATGTTAAGATTTAAAAAACATACAAGCAAATTTCATCATCTAAACTACAGAAGTGCAGAAATATAGATATTAAACTTTAAAAAAGAAAGAACTGCTATACTAAAAAAACTTGGTTACTATAAAAACAACCTGGTTAGCAGCATCCAAGTCAGCAATTAGTGAATTTAGCCGTCCATTTTCTGAAAGAACACTATCCATTTGATTTTGATTTTCTCGAATACTAATCATGCATATAATGATGTTAATTATGCATATAATTATGTAAAAATTATAAAACTTATTAAGTTGTAAAAGATCTGATAACAGATTTTAAAATCAAAAACAAAAAGTTACATACATTAAATCTTTTTGTAGAATTAAATCATCTTTTGCTTTTAAATCGATGGTTAGTTGAATTATTTTTTGAGCATGCTAAACATATGTTAAACATAAGATAATAAATTCATTAAAGCTATATGTGTGTGTATGTGTGTGTGTATATATATATATATATATATATATATATATATATAAGCAATCATTTACAAATAAACAACTTTCAAATGCAACCACTCTTTCAAAATATATATGGGAAACTAGGGAAAACCAGAATTGGGAAAATTGAGGTCGGCAATATTTTGCTAACCTAAATCTTTTAGAGGTCGGCATTGGGTTGGCAAAAAAATTTTGATACCAAGGTCTTACCATTAAACATCAAAACAAGGTAGGCAATTTTTTGCCGACTGCAAACATTTTTAGGTCGACATTGCCAAATGCTGAACCCAATTCCGTGGGTTGAATATATATATACATTTATATATATGTATATTTATATACATATATGTATATATATATATATATATATATATATATATATATATATATATATATATATATATATATACATATATATATATATATATATATATATATATATATATATATATATGTATATATACATATATATATATATATATATATATATATATATATATATATATATATATATATATATATATATATATATATATATATATATATATATATATATATATATATATATATATATATATATATATATCTTTATGATACAAGCTGCCATGGCCCACTATATTACATGACCATGTATACACAAAAAAAACTTGCGTATTATAATTGGTTTAAAGTGGACAAAGTTGTGTTGATAAATCAAAATAAACTTGATATTTATATATGTGTGTAGTGTATATGTATATATATATATATATATATATATATATATATATATATAATATATATATATATATATATATATATATATATATATATATATCAGGCCTTGTGATGAATGAAAACTGCGCGACGCATAAGCACGACATGATTTTTGACGTCATTAAATTCTTTTTATTTGCTTTTCTTATTTATCGACATTACACAATGCGACTGCACCAATTTACTTAATTACCACAAAACTACTTTAAATCATTAATGTAGAAATGTTATTATTTTAAAATGTCTTGGAATGTTTCGTTTTTCAAAATGTAAAAACATTTGTTTATGTTCTCGACCACAGACACATTTTGTCTATACTAAACGGATAAAAAACATTATAACTAAACATTTAAAAAAGATTATAACATATGCTAATTTGATTTTTTTTTTTCTCAAATATGTAATTTAAAGTTTTTCAAATAAATTTTTTTCTTTTTAAAAAGTCAGCGAGTAATAAACTGGAAATTTTAATTTTGTACGAATAAAAACTGTGTAATAGCTAATATTTTTACTAGCGATTTTATATAATATTTTTTCATTTATTTATTCTTATTTATTTTTATAAAGCGGTTGATAAGCACAATCACTCGTATTACTAAAAAACTTTAACAAACGTTTTGAATAGATTTTTAATGTTTACAAGGAATTTTATTTTTGGTAAAATAAAATAAAATAAAATGTTAAAATAAAAATCTTATAGGTTAAAAAGACATATTTCAGCGAAAAAAATTATTCTTAAAAATTATTATTAAAAATTATTTGAAAAACTATTGACGTTCTATTTTTCAGCAGCTGTTCTTGAGCATGCTTCGTTGAGTTTCGGTAACTTTTAACAAAAAAGCGATTGTTATTATTTAAGTAATTTTTTTCGAGTTATTTTTTACAAAAATATTAATAGCTGTACTTTTTATTGAATCAAGTAGAATCCATGAGGTCGCGATCGCGTCACAAAACGAGTTCCATCTTTGTAGGGGAAAAACATTGAACAAAACGCGTGATAAGCGCGTTTTGTTCATTGTTTTAATTTTAAAGCCGGGTTAAGGCATTAAACAAAATGCATTTTGTTCAATGTTTTCCCCCTACAAAGATGCTAACTCGTTTTGTGACGCGATCGCAACCTCAAGGATATGTTTTAATATTAATCCTTTTATTTTTTTTTTTATTTTCGCTTACCAATTTTTAAAATGTTTCCTCGAAATTATTCTTAAATACTTTAAATACGTCTAACAGTTAATAAATATTTTTAAATCTATGGAATAATTTTAAAACCTAACAAACCCCCTTAGAATAATTATTTAAGTTAAAACTCTAAAACTAAAAGAAACTAATTTTGTTCAATTTTATCGACAACTTTGCTATTGCTGAATAACTTTATTAAAATGTTAGCTTAAAAAGATTTAAACTTTTTGTTTAATCTGAATTTTTTCTACTTGTTAATAATGAGCATATTTAATTTTTTTGTAATTCAAACTTTTATATCAACTGCGTGCGGTTTTTAAAATACTTTATTAAATGTTAAAACAATCGAAAATTACTTCATTAAAATTCTGCTCAAAAATATCTTTAAATATACTCAAACAAAAAATTTTTTGCTTGACGCAAATAGCCCTAGCTACACGCAAAATCGCCCTTGGACGACTTAAAATTCACATCGCCCGACGCTTTATCGCAAGGCCTGATATATATATATATATATATATATATATATATATATATATATATATATATATATATATATATATATTTAATGAAATGCATATATATATATATATATATGTATATATATAATATTATGAAAAATTAACTAAAATGTCTAAAGTTAAATATGTAAGTAGTTAACTTCTAATATAAAATTTACATAACTCATCATTAAATTGTTATCGCCATGGCGAAGTTTTATTATTACATTTTTTATAAAAATGTAATGAGTTACATGGTAACATGTAACCTAATACAACCTGTTTCATGTGCTGTTTCATGTGCTTCTGCTTGGTAGATATGCTTTTTTAGGCAAAGGCTAGGAGATAATAACTGACTTAAAACCCTCTGCCTTGGGGCCTTTAGTTGAATGAATGCTAGAGATTGTGTCTCAATAAAAATACTCATCTTGGGCAGATGTAATTCTTTTCTATTCTGTCTTGTCATCTTAGGCAAATGCATTCGGCTACTGTCTTGTAAAAGGCCTCCTAGGCAAAGACTTAAAGGGTAAACAGATTCTATCTGGTGACCAGCTTCACATCCCTTCTTCATCATCAGGCTAGTACAGATAAATTTATAGTACATTGTTTCCAGTTTAGGATGATGAATGCTAGATCTTCTTTACTCATTGCATGGATTTTGCTCATATCTCTGTGTTAATGTTTCCAGTTTAGGATGTTGAATGCTGGATTTTCTTTTTTAATGACTAGGCAACTCATTCTATTATTTCCTAACAAGAGTACAGCTTTGAAACTCAGTTTTATAGTTCTGAGGCTGGCTGTTAATCAAGTTTCTTGAACTCTGTGGTACCTCTCAGAGAAGCTGATTCCATCAACAGCTGTAAAATATCTGAGAACAACCTTTCTAACAAAGGTTATTCTTAGGTCACGAAATTTTGTATTTCATCTCAAAAAATAGGCTCTGGGGACTTCTGGAGAATCTTTAACAGTATCTACAAGAAGGGTAAATCTGTTATCCCACCTCACGGCTGTTTCAGAGTGAGCTTTACGGCTTTTTGTTGTTTTTTTTTTTAATTTTTACTTAGCGGGTGTTACTAAAACATTTATAATTTTTGAAATATTAGAGATAATTTTGTTTTGTAAAAGGAATAAAAGCAACAATAAAATGTTTAATCATACAACATTTAATACAATAGTAATAAAACTTTTTTTATTTTATAAAAAGCGCAACAAATGATGAACTTGGTTAAATTTTAGAAATTTGTTGTTACTTTTTAAAGCGTGTACACGGAATAAATGTGAAAGTAGAAAAATAACTAAAAAAAAAGTACTTTTAAATTTTTATTTCTAACCAAGTAATAACTTTAATACAATAATATAAAAAGATCAAACATTATAAAAAAATCAAATTATTCCTGTGGGAATCTAATAAAATTTCAAACTTTTGCTTTGGTGGTACCCATAAGCTTGTGCACAGAACAAGTTTTTCTCAAACAAAATCGATCAAACGTAAATCTGGTGGTGGAAGAAAGAAGGGTTTTAAAGATAAAAAACTAGTTAGAAAACTGGTTAACAGTTTTAAGACTAACCCAAGCCTTTCACTAAGGGAGCGCGCAAACATTGAAGCCATTTGATGCTTTTTTAAATGATATTTTAATATCTTTAATATTTCTGCAAAGTTTTTTTATTTTTTTCATTTTTCTTTTAAAGATGGCCCAGTACTTTTCAATAACTTTTAATTCTGGGCAGTTTAGAGGATTTTCTGTTTTAGGCACAAATTTCACATTATTATTTTTATACCATACCAAAGCTATTTTACAATAATGAATTGAAGCTAAATCTGGCCAGAACACAGGACTCTTATTGTGTGATTTAATCAGAGGTAAAAGGCATTTTTGTAAACACTCTTTAACATATATTAGATCCAAAAGTGTGGACCGAGAAATATAAGATGCTGATTTTTTGCCACAACTGCAAACAGCTTGCCAAATCAAAACTTCTTTAGCAAACTTGTCATGTTTTATGTATTTAATTTTCTTATCTGTTTTTCCTCTATATTTGGCAATATAATAGACGGTACCAGGAATTTGCTGATGATCGTACTTGATATAAGTTTCATCGTCTTCAATAATACAGAAATTTTTAGAAATAAAATTGTCATACAACTTTCTGCAGCGGGTTTTTGCATTTTTTTGTTGAGTTTCAGATCGGTTGGGCACTTTTTGTGCTTTGAAAGAATGAAAACCATGTTTATTTCGAACTTTTACAACAAAACTATGAGAAAGTCCATAAATGTTTGCGTGCACTACCTTAGTGAAAGGCTTGGGTTAGTCTTTAAACTGTTAACCAATTTTCTAACTAGTTTTTTATCTTTAAAACCCTTCTTTCTTCCACCACCAGATTTATGTTTGATCGATTTTGTTTGAAAAAAACGTTGGATTACACGACTAACGGTGTATGGATGTATTTGCAACGCTTGTGCTATCGAATTGTAGCTACTATTGGGATTTTTCAAATATTTGT